GTAAATTTTGTTATTACATGAACAAGTAATAAAATTAAAATTAGTTGAGAAGACTTAGTACAACCACATAAAGAAGCACACCAATATAATTTAGCACAAACAGGAAATTGTATAATTTTGTTCTGGTGTTGTACGGCCAGGTAGGCACCATGCAGTACTTAATTATATCCTGTAGAACTATTAAAGTAGCATAACATAAGCACTCAAAAAAATTGAGCAGCCTTTGCCTATAAATTTAACCAAATGCAGCATTTTATGAACAGCTTTCAGGCGTTTCAATAAAAATTGAAGTAGCCAGCAGATTTGAATAGAGTAACCAACTAGATCAACAGTCTACATTTTCGAGGGGTGTCTGAGGGCATGCTCCCTCAGAAAATTTTAAAATTGCAAAGCCCTAATAAGCGATTTCCAGCCTTTGGGGGACTAAACTGAGAATAAAAGAGCGAGTTTTCCATTCAAGAAGATTTGGGCTTTAGTCAAATTTTGATTTATTAGCCACACAATTAACTCCTGCAAGCAATGAGCAAATGATAATTATACTAAGTTACATACATTTCTGTGTGAACAAATTATATTTTTGTACATGACATTATTCAAACTAGTTGCTTCTTCTTCGGAGGAAAAAGTAGCCGACTTCTCTGAGCAATGTAGCCGACGCGTTTCGTCGGACGTTGGTGCCTATTGAAACCCTTGAGCTTTGAAGCTTTCCTCTCCATACATTTCTTAGTAAAACGCCATAACATAATTTTACAAACAGAAATGACACTGCATAAGAAAAAAAATCACTCATCTGTACAGTTTTTTCCATGTTTAATGTTGCCTTGGCACACCATGATTATTTTCAGGATACTGTATATGTTATCGAAACCAACGTGACCAACGTGACTTTTCCATACAAAACTCTTATACTGGTCAGGTTCAATGTCTGAGTTACAGCAGGGACCAGAAATTTGTGACGTCATTAGTGCAAAGCGCTAATGACTAGTGCATTGATACATGTAGTCTTAAACTGCTTATTGAAAATAGATGTCAAAATAATGTGCAAAAATGAAATCAATAAGAAATGTTAAGTCATAAATGGGTGATTACTTTCGTACAACTCACCTCCAGAAATGACTCGCCCTCTTCCGTTTTTTATGAATAAAATTACGTAAAATTAAATACTCTGATTAAAAACTCGAGCAAGATATAAAGACACTCACTTGCTTCACCCAAAATTCTTGGCATTTTTCAGAGAGCTGACCACATCGGTGCCATGAATGATTGTACAGATTTCTGGTTTCATTGGCAACAAGTTCAACAGTGAAAGCGGCAGTGCAACAGCTGCTGTCCTTGAAGGCATGACAAGCCTTGAAGTCGTTTGTTTCGGGTGACGGCGAAGATTTGTGATACAGTCCAGCAATGCATTTGTCTTCACTAGCGACAGAGAAAACAAATTGAAGAAACAAGCAAACTAACAGAACAAACTTTGCCATGTCGACAGGATGATGTCTGCAGAAACACTGACAAAATACTGAACTACGATGAAAGCATGCCCATACGCATACATGTGCCCGTACACGCTATTATAAAGACAAATTTCTCCACGTGCATTCAATGTGCACCCTCCTAGGGGGGAGTCTTGTTTTTGCTTAGCGGGGTAGGGATGGGAGCTAACAACGAGACTGCCAGACCCTGGTTTCAAAATTCGAGACATCGAGAAATTCTGGCCCGAGACTTTATGCTTCTTTATGCTGGGGTTACCACTAACACGCACCCTTGTTGACGTCTACCAAACCGCAGGTTTGAACCGAAGAAATATAATCTATCGAAATATAAGGATTTGTGTGGACAAAAACCTATCGTTTCCGCCCGGGGTACTCCCATATATGGGCTATATAGGTACGTGCCGCGGAATAGGGTATGGTTTTTGAGGTTCTCGGTCCTTAAATAGGGTATCTTTTTTTACCCTCTTGTTTCTGCAGTCCCTGGTGTGGTCCTTAGATAGGGTAGCCTAATTGTATTTTCTAATACTGGAGTGTGAAAATGCCCGCCTAAACGAACATTTTTTTTAAAACTAGGCTTATTCTAGGATTTTATGCTTGATGCTATACATCCAATGTTACAGAGAAGAAGTAAAGTTTTCCTTTTCATGCTATTAGTAATTTTGTTTTTTCCTTGAATAGGGTGTCATTTTTCGGTTTTGGGCCTTAAAAAGGGTATCATTCTTCGCTTTCTTAGTCCTTAATTAAATAGGGTTAGGGTTTACGAACCTTCGCGGCACACCCCTATCCAAAATTCGCGGGAGTACCCCCCCGGTCGTTTCCGTAACCTACGAAAATGAAAGGATTTCAATAAAAAACAGCTTACCTTATAAAATGTGTGTTACGTCTCTCCTGTGTGGTCCATGGGCCGATTTATGGCCGTCTGATGGATTGTACGGTAAATGGTACAGTAGGTTTACTGTACCTGAAAACAGCTGAAAAAGAAAAGCGCCTTGGGGTTGAAGAGAAAGCGACGGCCGGAAATTCGTTTCGCGTTATGAAATCATGGGGTATGACCTACCTGACTGGCTGGACTAAGAGTTGACTGAGAGCAGGCTGCAATTTATCCTGCAATGGGTAAATTGCCGGGTCCCCACACCCCACTTCTCCCCACTGGGGTAATGGTAGTGGTTTAGTCTCGTTTGTGCCCAGACTTCCTCAACAAAGATGTCTGGAGCGCCGATTCGAGCACATCAGCGAAAAGTGAAAACTGTCAAATTCTATTTAAATTCTTTGTAATCATAGAGTAAGTGTAAAGACAACGCTAACTCAAAGGGCCAAAGAGTTAAGATGAAAAGGCAGAAACGTAAAACAGACGAGTGTAAGTAAAGAGTAGTTTAAACTTGTTTTCACGAGTCATTGGAATCTGGTGAGACATGAAGTAGGACATTTCAGTATCGTTGATAGCTGATGATCACATGTGTATGTGTTAGGACAAGAAGAATGGTTGGTAAGATTTCCGCACAGCCCCATACATTTGTTGTACATGCAGTAATCTCATACTATTTAGCCGTATTGCACACAAAATGAATTTGCCATTTCCAAATCTCCCAGAATACACCTTGTTTGTACTCCCAGGATTTTATAGTTGTACCAAGAGAAATAGAAGAAAATGCCCATGAGAAATTTTGGGAGGCAAACAAGGTGTATTGTGTATTGTGCAAGGGGCAAGTAGGGTCAAAATATGTATTCTAAAATGGTTCATTCAGTTGAGGGTGCTCCGGAGTAAGAATACGCAAAACTGTCAGGTATAAATCTCTTTTACTGTGATTTTTTGACCACTTAAATGTTACATTAATATTATATAAATTTTAAGCAGATTTATAGACATTGCAATGCAATGAATGCCAAAACAAACAATTTCTAGAGTTTATTCCATTTATTCTTATAGATCATGCCCTAAATGTATGGGGATGTGGGGAAATTTTTCTGAACTGAGAAGTCGCCTTTCGCCAATAATGCTTCTTTAAATAGAAGCAAAAGCTCTGAATTTAAAGTATTTGATTTTTTTCAAGAGTAGAGATACACATGTATTCAGTGCTCCTATTAGTGTGAATATTTATCTGCGATTCATCCTTTGATAGTTTGCTGTGCTGTTGTATTTTAGCCAGGGCTTGATCATACATGTACTTTCCCCAATAATTTATTTTGGCAAGGCTTGGATCCAGATCAGTTTTTGTTTCTAGAGGGCAAATCAACTTTAACCCAGCTGATGAATTGTTACAATGTACAGAGACTTGGTTGTACCATCTAGAAACAAATCAACACCTACTGATGTTGCCTTTTTATTATAAACCTTTTGATTCAGTCCCCCACCAACGTTTACTTCTTAAGTCAAAAAGTTATGGAATTGAAGGTGGTCTGCAGGAGTGGTTTTAGAAATTTCTTTACTAATCGTCAGCAGCATGTGTTTGTGTGCAGCACTTATTCTTCACAGTCTCCCATCCGGAATACTTCAGGGAACAATTTTAGGGCAACTCTTTTGTTCCTCACATATTTTTTTGTTTGTTTCTTTTTTTCTTTTCTTTTCTTTTCTTTTCTTTTATCTTATATATTTATATGCATTTGTATTGTTAAAAGTTGTTGGTTTTTTCATGTATGATAATGTTATGTCATCCAACATATCCTCATCTCTTAAAATGTATGCTGATAACACAAAAGTGTACAGAGAGCCGTCCAACTTGGAAACTAATACACGTACCCTTCAATTTGATATCAACCCTTTAAATGGTGAGGTAACTCTGTGGATTAACTCTGGGGTTTATATCTGGAAAATGGAAAACAATATCCTCCTATACAATGGAACTGGAACTAAAGTCTGTCAAACGTGCAAAAGGTCTTGGCGTCCTGATTTGTCTGACTTATCATACACACTTACGATGTAAAATTAACATGAAAGTGAAGCCTAAAGGCAACCAGATTTCCCACAAACTTCAAAAAAAGTAAATAGGGTGGCTAAAGCAAGAATGAGTTCTGATTTAGAGATTAAAATTAACCCCAAAAGATATTCCTCGAGCAGTTATAGTAAATGAATGACAATGAAAAGTGGACAGTGGAGAAACTAACCTTTGGCAAGGATCCTTTGGAAACACATGAAACATCAAGTCTTTCTATTATCGGAATTATTATGAGAAAGCGCAGCAGTGCAGCATTTGTAAGAACTATTTTTGGTCCTAGTTGTAGGATGGGCTTCTGCCATTTTTTATGCGATGTGGCCCTTAGGCCTTGCTTTCATGCTTACGTCATAAGTGTGTATTATGTTGATGCCGTGGTAAACCAGGCAAACATGTATGTTGTTATGTTATGTTATTTCTTTACTTTCCTACTGCAGCTTCAAAATCATCAAAAAAAGCAAAGAAAAGTAAGGTGTGTATGCACAGAATAATTATTTTTACATTTCACATTGTGCTAATAATTATTATTTTTGTTTATTTGTTAAAATTATTATACAATTATTCTTAAGGATTGCTTTATGGGTTAAGAATGTGGTCCGGATCCTGTCTTGGATGGAGTCTATCAGGTTTTTGAACAGGTGTAAAAGTTACAACTGCAGCTGATATGAGCAATGAAATGCAGAATGTTATGTTAGTGGTGAAATCCCTAACTCACCATGACATTAAGACCCTTCCTTTAAAATCTAAGACTCTGTGGCAAGTAAATTATGACTTTGGGGCAGAGAAACACCACCACTGGTGTTTCAGGGATTTCAAGATCTAAGACATTTTCTGACACCCACAGTTTTGTAGATACTACATGTATACCCCTACGTTCAGTTCCATGGTGTTTTGGTTCTGCTGTGAATACACTTTGAATAATGTATTTTTAAAAGGGAATCCTGTCATTTTTAGGTGGAAGAAGAAGAAGATTTTGGAGACAATGAATCTGTAGCTGATGATGGTGAGTAAATTGTATAATAAGTGGTTTAGAACTGAGTAACATACTGAAGAAGAAAGGGCTGCATACGTTGAACAAACACTCTTACAGCATCGTTCAGTCTCGCTTGCTTGGAGATTAGATTGAGAGATGAGGAGGCGATTAATTCTACACAAAACAGAATTTACTGGCTTAAGGTTTTTTATTTACTTCCTACTTGAGCAATGTCGAGTATTCTTCAGGATATTTACTTTTTATTTATTTCTGAATTGATTTAGTATGCATTTTAGCGACAACCCCAAATACGTGTGCGGTCGCAGGCTATATGCGTGTATAAATACACGAAAATTCAAGGGCCTCGATTACATCATTGCCAGACATCAAAAAAGTGATTTACATGGTACGTCATTTCAGTCATCACCAAAAATAAACTGCGTGTTCATCACAAGACCATTTACATACAATGACATTTTACGACACCCGACCATCGCAGATTTGCTAATTAAGGTTCTTATTTTTTTTCGACCACTCAGTATTTTTCACTTGTTCCAAAGTAATCAACGTTTTCAAAAAATAGAATTCATGGAACGACACATCACAGAAAATCTCTAAATTTAATCTTACCTAAGCTTTCTTTGCAAAACATGCATGGCTTCGGTCATGCAACATTTGGAACAATGACCCCCCTTTTGTGTTATAAATACGGGGAAAAACGGGTTGCAGAGTCTCGCTGCTTGCCCAAGGGAGACTTACTATTATTGGCTTTACATGTAGCCATTCTTTTAATCCGGGCTTCTATATTTCTCATAGTCGTGGAGCCACGAATTTCAGGTAAATCTGCAAAATCACACAAAATTCACAAAAACACGCAAAATACTAAAATTTGGTAGAAATCTTATCAAATACACATGTCTATACAACATATTTGAAACTTATCTCAGCTATTGGGCCTATTTACTTGCCGTAAACTTGCAAATTTACATGTATCTTTAAACTTTGTCACTGAAACGTGCAAACAGCTTTTCAAAACTACCAGGCATATTATCTTGCGAAAACTGGGCACTAGCCACGATGCTAAAGGCTTTGCCATTTCTTCATTTCTGGAGCGTATTGTTGTTGAAAGTCGGTTAGAGCAAATGATGACCTCTGTTAGAAAAACGTTAAAAGCCCTGGCCCTGCGAAGTTTGCCCCCGAAAATTTGTGCAAAATTCCCACAAAATCACCCAATTTCTCTGCAAATTTGTCCCTAAAAATCCCGCGAAATTTGACTTTTTTTGCTGCGACCTATCAGAAGCCCTGATTAATGCCATGGGTCTTTTGGAGTTTTGTCTTAATAAATTTTACCTCTACTGAGTGATCATGAAGGACTCAATTTGCATTTAGGGACCGTTCATTATTTATCGGAGGGGGAGGGGATGGGTGAGAAATTAACAAGTCTTCTTTTTTTCCCATGACCCCCCCTAAGAAAAACTGGATTTTTCATGCAGGTCTCCCCTATTCTATTAGGGGAGCATTTCAATCCCCCCCTCAGCTTACTCACACTCACTAAACAGTTTTACTGAACAAATGCATACCGTTTTTTTCTGAGGATGCAGTGATGTAGCGGTTTAATAGCATTTTGGACTTCAGATCTAAATGTCACTGGCTTGAAGGCACATCACTGCCATGGTGTTTAATTTCTTGTTTGTTTTACAAAGACAAGAAACTTTCTCCCAAGGTGTCTTTCCACCCAGTAGAGCAAATAATTAATGGCAATCTTCCCTCCTACAAGGAGTAGCAATATGTCAGTTGCTTGAATCATGATACAGAAAGAAGCTTATAAGCTCCATTCAAGTGGGCCTCCAGTGGCTTGCATGAGATTTACTGTATTTTTTTTTTAAAGAAAAGCATTCTTCCAGGAGCCTACCACTCTCCCACTGCGTGTGGTGGTCATAAGCTGTAGCTCGTCACTGGACATGTCATCCGAGCTGCCTAACTCCACTCTAACTTCATCCTCATCCTTGTAATTATAAATCATACCCTGTGACTGCACCACAATACTGTGTAAGACTGTACTCTAAGAAGAATCATAGGGATCCCAAAGGCTGTCAGCCCTAAAATCTGGGGTACCCAGCTCTTATTAGCACACTAAAATATATCTTGTTGTTTTTTATTAAAGACTTTGTTTCTTTAAAATTTTAAGGGCCCCCCTCAATAACAAGTAATCTACCCCAGGACCCCCTCTTTTGCAGTGGCTAAAACTTTGAGTCCCCCCATTTTCTCACCCATCCCTCCCCACTCGGATAAATAATGAACAGTCCCTTATCCTTGTGAAGCTGATGTTGATAAATTCATTTCATATTGCATATTTTTAATACATATTTAAGAATAAAGTGTGACAGTAAGACAAAAAAGAAGGAGATGAGACAAAGAAGTAGGAGTCATTACAACAGGATATTTGTGGCCGGTCACCCAACCAGTAATTTATAAGCCACACCTGACAGTGCCCAACAAATTTTTCAAGGGTTTGCAAGACACTTGTTTCTAAGCCATTAACTTATTGCTGAAGATCCGTTTAAAGTAAATGTAAATCCTTAACTCACTAGGTTGGTCAGCAGTAGCAGAAAGAGCCTAGAAGCATTGCTTCCATCCCCCTACCTCCACCCTTTAAATATTCCTCTTCCCACCCAAAGGAAAATGCAAGAACGTTCCTTACATTTTTACCGATTACATTATCTCTAATGCCTGGTTTGCATATGATCGTCCAGATCGCCCCAATCAATTAAAAAAATTTCAAGACTGGCTGGACAGTTGGTAGTTTCCATATAACCATCTTGATGACCTCAAAGACAAGAGATGCGTGGTCATCAGCGATATTTCTGAGTCAGACAATATGTAATATTTGTGCATGTTTTCCAAACAAGCCAAACATATAATGGTGGATTTTAATATTGGAGAGCAAACCTGGTAGCTTGCTATCTGCTTTTCCCCTCGATTTTGTGGCCTATAGACAAGCTAGAAGAGTTCCATGAAGACATAGTATCATGTTCAGAACTTGATGTAACAGACTTTTTGTTTTTCAAATAGTGCCCGTATGTGGTGTGAACATTTTTGTATTATTTTTTTCGACTTTAGTGGCGTCCTGACCAAATTTATTCCTTATTACTGGACTAAGAGTAATGATTCCTGGGATAGCCTTGATTGTCCCAATCGTCTCAGTCATCTGAGAGCATTTCCATATGATTACTTCAAAATTTACACTATTGTTGCAATTGTCTGGATGGAACTAAATTCTATCAGTCGTCCCAGTTGTCCGGGTCATTTGGGTTCATCTGAGTAGTGTTTCCATAATTATGATCATCCTGATCGTCTGAACAGTATTTGACACAACTGTGATGATCAGGACGATGTGGACAATCACATGGAAACCAGGCTTAAGGAAGCAATCAGGTGTACAAGTTGTATACCTGAGCTTTGTTAGACAATATTGAGGAAAGGGTGTCTTGTACTGTGTTGTTAAAGGAAACAACGTAGCATTTAAGACCAGGTCTTGTATAATAACTGTGAATTGTCCATCTGTTTGACAGCTGATGTTGCACCCAAGTCCTCATCCGCGGCTGTCACAGATGAAACCATTGAGGTCAGTTAAATACTGCTGTAGTCTATATAATATTCACTTCTATTGGTGTGTACAAACTCATTGATGCAATGTATTTTGATGTTGTAATAATTCTAGGATGAGTTTGGAGCTAAAGACTACCGTAAGATAATTGAGTTGAAAGCTGACCATTCATCCAGACCTCTCTGGGTGGTAAGTTAAAAAAGTAGCTGATGTTATAACTTCTTTCTCACAAAAATTACATTGGCTATATGTGAAGTAAGGGTGACTGATCGATCAGGGGAAACTCTCTTGAAGAAACCTACATGTAATAACAGGTGTGCACAGCTCAACAGATTTACAATTCTGATTTTTTTTTTTCAAGTTTAAAATCTAGAACTGATTATTTATTTTCGGGACATTTTCTATAACAGATTGTAATATTTCAAATGCAGAAGAGCTTCAGTCTGTTCACACTATCTATGGGGAAAATATACCAAGAATTGGGGTATTAGACTAGATAACGATTTTTAAAGTAGAATTCGTTTGGAATGTGATCTAAACTTGCTGCCCTAGGAGCAAGTCCCTGCCCAGATATTTACTAGAGCAACATTCAGCAACTATTCCTTTCATGGGAGATCCAAATTGTTCACATAAAAATACACAGTCATACTCACAGTGTCTGTTTTGTGCCTAGAGAGCCATACATATTAATTTTGTAATGAGTGTTGATCAGTATGTAAAGGGGTGACCTTAGTCTAATGCTGGTAGGGACCTGTAGACCTGTAGGTGTCCATTACTAAGAGAGAGTTGACTGAATTTAGAATTAGTTTTGGACATCTATGATGTAATACTGCCATGCCGGGTGACTCAGTGCAGGCGTTCGTGTACTACAAACTGTGCTACAGTAGTAACAGTGCATTGTTCCAGGAAGTATCTATTTCCTACACACCATCCTTGCCCAACAAGGGATTCTTTGGCTTGAGTACCCCATCCTTCCTACTGGCATAAATTGCTTTTAAGCTTAAAATTTTGTTCATCTGTGCATTAGTATTGTTTGAGTTTCTATTGCTTTTTTTTTTTTTCAGGCTCCTGATGGACACATTTTCTTAGAGTCGTTTTCTCCTGTGTACAAACACGCTCATGACTTTCTTATTGCTATTTCTGAGGTTTGTTATTTTAACTTTTTTTAGTTTTGGTAAAACCAAAATTACATTGTCAAAATAGATCGTTTTCACTGTCACGCAACAAAAAGATAAATTCGAAACTGTCTAGTGGAAGAAGCCAAGAAAATGAAATTTAATAAACGACTACTATATAAACAATTTGTCCAAGTCTCAGGTCTTTGTGGCCCACAGTTTCTGAGTTATTTGCCAAAACATTTTGTAGAGCTTTGTACACCGGAAATCAACAAAAACATCTGGAGTTCACTTTTTCTATAAAAGCTCTTTCTTTTCACTCAAGAAATTGCATACCTGCACATAAACATATCTTCTAATACTTAAAATGGTTATACTGCTGAAAATTAAGAGGAGAGTTTTTTTTTCAATGAGGCAGCATTCCTGTTATGGTGTCATGCACTGTGAAAACTCGGAAGTTCAAATTGCTGTATTTTCGAAATGAAACATGCTACGGAAATGGAAACTTGTACAAAGATTTACTCTTTGTTTATCTTCTACCTAGAGTAAATGAGAATTCGTAAAACCTCACTATTTTAACTTTACAATTTGATGACATCATTGTGAAAACCATCTATAGCTGTCCAAGGCAAAGTTGCTAGACCTTATTAGAAATTTAGTGATCTTTCTTTCTCCTTTTGCTTGACAGCCTGTTTGTAGACCAGAGCATATCCATGAATATAGGTAGGTATGAGTGTATATGATATGTGCAATAGAAAACCCTCCATAAGTTGATCAAATAGCATTGTGCGTGTAAGTGCAAGTGGTCCATATTAGGACTGCTGTTTTGACAGCTTTTGCTGAAGTTGTCATTACGGAAGAGCGCCTGTAGATCCGTGTCGCCCGCAAAATCACTGGTCCCATGACTATTTGCGCGCTCACAAAGGAAGCCGACGCATGTCGTGTCCTTTGATTCAAGACTCAAGTGTTAGGGTATTGTTTCCACGATACAAAGGTAATTTAACTTAAGAAAATCTATAGATCGAAAATTCGCACTACTCTCTGTTTTATAAGGAAATGCAAACGCTCAACTTGATAAATATTTTGACTTCATAACATATTTTAACGATTTAGGCCAGCAGAATGTATAGAATTCCAGGAAAACAATTCAGGAAGCCGAACAGTTTTGAACTGCGCTAGACGTTATTTTTATCAGTATGCAAATCACCTACCCAATCACTTACTTTCCATCGAACTGAAATATCCTGACTTTTTTGCTGGAGACAAAAATATCGATTTTGAATTCCCAAATGCTTGCCTTTTGGGGCACCCCTTTTTATTTTGGCTATCAAGATTTTAAAAGCTAAGCTTCAGACTTTCCATTCCAACGTTTTAATGCGGGAAAGCTAGGAGAAATGCTCCAACTGATTTAAGTCACGCAACACGCTTTAAGACCGCATAACTTGATCTTTCTGTTATCTTTTGTTCTTCTATTGTCTCCAAAACAATAACGATGTCTTACCAATTTCCACCTACGAATAATAGGACACATTTGATTGACAGAAAAATTTGCATTTACTAGCGACGCGTATCTACAGGCGCGATTCCGTAATGTTATGCATGTTGCATATCATCCGTTTTTGGTATTAGGCTCTAGATATTAACCTGATTGATCAATTAAGTTGCACTGTTTCTAATTATTGGTCATTTAAAATAAGCCATTATAATTTATCATTGCTTGTCAAGACTCGTTAAGTGGGTGGTGATTTTGATGTGTCTGTTGTGAATGTAATAGATGGGTCTCTTTTTTATTCTTTTACTTTTCCTCACTGTTAAAAAAGTTTTGTTGATGCATGTTCTATTTCAGGCTGACTGCATACTCTTTGTATGCTGCTGTTTCTGTTGGTCTCCAGGTAATATTTAAGTCAGAATACAATCATGTATTAATCAAAACATTTCTTACTTACTTACTTTTGGATAAGAACAGCCAAATAATAGATTGCTTAAAATCAACTTTTTGAGAAACAGAGTACCTTAATATATTTTAAAACATATATATTTTTGGGAATGACACTGAAGAGTGAACCTCTTTTTACTGGTAGTTTTAACCAATGTTTTAAAGAACATCAGGATCCATTAACATATCCTGTAAAATAATTGTTTTGTTATACATGTATCACATTATAGGAGCATTTTTTTTTTATTTAGACAGCCATATGGTGATTTCTACCAAAGCTATCTTAAGAATGAATTATATCCTTGGCGAGAAGTATTCTTTGTGTTTTTTTGTTCTTTTGTCCTTTCTGTTCCAGACAAGTGATATCATTGAATATCTCAGACGACTCAGCAAAACAACAATCCCAGATGGAATAATCCAGTTTATCAAGGTACAATGTTGCTACTTTAATTTCAACATATATTTTTGTTTGTGCAGGAAGTTTTAATTTTTTATGGAATTGCCTCTGGTGAACAGAAACTTTGCAGGTTAAAAAGGACCTAGTTAGGTTTGTGTTCGCGAAAGCATTGAATGAATGTAAGTAAGGGCTATTCCTTTAGTCAATCAATGAGATGTAACTTTCCCTCTTCTTTGCCGTTAGTTTGTATAAAAAGATGGTGCTGATATACACATTTCTCCATGCTTCACTCTAAAAACTCTCTTTGTGAAATTAATCTGTTGTTATCCTTATTCACTCTCTTTCATTGTTAACGGATAAAGATTGATCTGGCATGGCAAGTGCCTTGAGGAATAAGGGTGGATCTGGCCTGGGGCAGTCGACTTGAGGAAAAGGGTGGACCTAACAGTAGAAACAGCCTTAAGGAAAATGTATGGATTGGCATGGGAAGCAGCATTAAGAAATAGTACTGGATCTGGCAAGAGCAACAGCTCTTGCCAGCCCCACTACTATGCTATTCCTTGAGGAGTAATTGTCGATGTGGCAGAGGTAACAATCTTAAGGAAAAAGGTAGATTGGAAGGGGAAGCAGCCTTGAATAAAACCGGTGGATCTGGCAGGAGCAGCAGCCTTACTGAATGAGGGTGGATCTGGCAGTGGCAGCAGCCTTGAAGGATAATGGTCGATCTGGCAAGAGTAGCATCTTTACAGAATAAGGGTGGATCTGGCAGTGGCAGCAACCTTGAAGAATAATGGTTGATCTGGCAGTGGTAGCATCCTTGAAGAATAATGGTGGATCTGGCAGTGGCAGCAGCCTTATAGAATAAGGGTGGATCTGGCAGTGGCAGCAGTCTTATGGAATAAGGGTGGATCTGGCAGTGGTAGCAGCCTTGAAGAATAATGGTGGATCTGGCAGGGGCAGCAGCCTTACAGAATAAGGGTGGATCTGGCAGTGGCAGCAGCCGTGAAGAATAATGGTGGATCTGGCAGTGGCAGCATCCTTATGGAATAAGGGTGGATCTGGCAGTGGTAGCAGCAGTCTTATCTGGAATTTTTATGGAATGGTGATCTGGCAGTGGTAGCATAAAGATAGATCTGACAAGGGCAAGAATAATAAAAGTGAGTGGATCTGGCAAAGATGGATCTGGCAAGACCAGCAGCCTTTGGGAAGAAAAGTAGATCTGGCCAGTGGAAGCAACCTTGAGGAGTAAGGATGGATCTGGCAGGGGACACAACCTTGGGGGATAAGGGTGGATCTGGCAGGGGTAACAGTCTTGAGGAGTAAGGGTGGATCTGGCAGGGGCAGCAGCCGTGAAGAATAACGGTGGATCTGGCAGTGGCAGCATCCTTATGGAATAAGGGTGGATCTGGCAGTGGTAGCAGCCTCGAAGAATAGTGGTGGATCTGGCAGTGGTAGCAGCCTTGTTACGAAATGAGGGTGGATCTGGCAGTGGCAGCAACCTTTAAGAATAAAGATAGATCTGACAAGGGTAGCAGCCTTGAAGGATAAAAGTGAGTCTGGCAGGAGAAAGCCTTAAGGAATAAAGATGGATCTGGCAAGACCAGCAGCCTTTGGGAAGAAAAGTAGATCTGGCCAGTGGAAGCAACCTTGAGGAATAAGGATGGATCTGGCAGGGGACACAACCTTGGGGGATAAGGGTGGATCTGGCATCTGGGGCAGCAGTCGTGAAGAATAATGGTGGATCTGGGTGGCAGTCTTGATGGAATAAGGGTGGATCTGGCAGGGTAGCAGCAAGAATAGTGGTGGATCTGGCAGTGGTAAGAAGAATAATGGTGGGATCTGGCAGTGGCAGCATCCTTGATAAAAGGAATAAGGAATAAAGATGGATCTGGATCTGGCCAGTGGTAGCAACCTAAGGATGGATCTGGCAGGGGAATAACTTTGGGTGGTGGATCTGGCAGTGGGGGATAAGCTGGCAGTGGTAGCAGCCTTGAAGAATAGTTGTGGATCTGGCAGGGGCAGCATCCTTATGGAATAAGGGTGGATCTGGCAGTGGTAGCAGCCTCGAAGAATAGTGGTGGATCTGGCAGTGGTAGCAGCCTTGAAGAATAGTTGTGGATCTGGCAGGGGCAGCATCCTTACGGAGTGAGGGTGGATCTGGCAGTGGCAGCAGCCTTTAAGAATAAAGGTAGATCTGGCAAGGGCAGCAGCCTTGAAGGATAAAAGTGAGTCTGGCAGGAGAAAGCCTTAAGGAATAAAGATGGATCTGGCAAGACCAGCAGCCTTTGGGAAGAAAAGTAGATCTGGCCAGTGGAAGCAACCTTGAGGAATAAGGATGGATCTGGCAGGGGACACAACCTTGGGGGATAAGGGTGGATCTGACAGGGGTAACAGTCTTGAGGAGTAAGGGTGGATCTGGCCGGTGTTACAGCCATAGGAAATAAGGCTGGATCTGGCAGGGGTAACAGCCATTATAAATAAGGGTGGATCTGGCCAGGGTTACAGCCATAGGACATAAGGGTGGATCTGGCAGGGGTAACAGCAATTAGAGATAAGGGTGGATCTGGCTGGTGTAACGGCCATAGGAAATAAGGGTGGATCTGGCAGGGGTAACAGCCATTAGAAATATGGGTGGATCTGGCAGGGGTAACAGCCATAGCAAATAAAGGTTGATCTGGCAGGGGTGGCAGCCATAGCAAATAAAGGTCGATCTGGCAGGGGTGACAGCCATAAGAAATGAGGGTGGATCTGGCAGGGGTAGCAGCCATAAGAAATAAGGGTGGATGTGGCAGGGGTAACAGCCATAGGAGATGAGGGTGGATCTGGCAGGGGTAACAGCCATACGAAATAAAGGTGGATCTGGCAGGGATAACAGACATAAGAAATAAGGGTGGATCTGGCAGGGGTAACAGCCATAACAAATAAGCGTGGATCTGGCAGGGGCAACAGCCTTGAGGAATAAGGGTGGAGCTGGAAAGGTGCAACATCCTGGAGGAATGAGAGTGAATCTGTCAGAGGCAGTCACCTTTTGGATGGATCTTGCAGGGGTGGCATCCTGACCAAAACCACTGCCTGAGGCTCCTGGCTCTGCTGAGTCCTGCTCAGCGCCATATACTGTAAAAAGAAAATATATACAATTTGTACATAAATGACTGTTATTTTTTAAAGGGTTCTTTGGAAAAGTTAATGTGGAAAGCAATCCATCTTAGTGTGATCTTTTACTCACACTTCAGCGAAATTACACACATAAACATTATCAGGTTATAGTGTGAATGCAGCAATTTTTCATTATTTTACAGTTTTTAACAAGTTATATTTTTTTGCAAACTTTTCTTAAGTTTCTGACTTTGCTTTTTAGATTTGTACATTGAGTTATGGCAAAGTCAAACTTGTGTTGAAGCACAACAGATACTTTGTAGAAAGCAGTTATCCGGTGAGTTGCCTCCCAGCTCTGAGGAGTACTTTTGACTTTTAAAATGACCTTATTTAGCATCCTGTATAGCTTCAACCAAAAAGACCGCATTTATTGTAATTATTATTAATTTTTATGGCCAAAAATACTTTGAAATTGAGCACAGTCCAAATTCTTGATTAAGTAGTACATAAGTATGTGATGATCAGTTGCCAATTTTTATAGGAGATGGATGGCATGTTAAACCATGGTTAAACGAAGTGGCTGAAATGCATCTGGCTTGATTGTATTTATTTTCAGCTCAAATCTGTTACAGTACATTTAAACTTTTAATCTTTTTTTGCTAATAGGAAGTACTTCAGCACCTTCTTAGAGACGAAGAAATTGAGCAATGTCGGAAACGAACAGATGATGACATTGAACTTGGTTTGGGAGAGGATCAGCTTGTGAAGTCCACTGTGGGTGGAAAGTCATCACTGAAGGTGGAGGGAGAATGTTACAAACTGTGGCTGAACATAGTTCTGTCAAAAATATATACTTACGTTACATTTATTGAAGCTCCCTGACAGGATGCTTGAGTAACAATTTAAGTTTATACAGTAATCATTATAAAAGGTTTATTTCATAACTGATAAACTCACTAAAACAAGCAGGTTTACAATCCTTTACAACCAGACCAATTTTAATAGTTTTTCTTCTATTTTTTAAATAGTTAAACAAACCTTCAGAACCCAATGGAAATTCTTCTCAAGCAATGGAGCAGGTATTTAAAACTACAAAAATAATGGGATTTTTTACAGTTAGCTATCAAAAGAGCTGGAAGAGTTTAGAAATTCTGGGAACTGAGTTTTGAGGAACAATAACTGCACTTTCACTTCAGGATGCACCCCTGGCAGTGGAGTTGGAGAATTTTGAGTAATCAACCAAAATGTGTTCTGTTCAAAAATGCTAGGTGTTACAACTAAGAAATAAGTAGCCATGATTAAGGCAAAGAAAGTATAAAGGAACAAATTTTATGGCAGTACGTGCATACAGCACCAGTTAGAAACCTGTTCATTGTTGTATCTGTAAGTACTATGCTTCCATCAATTCACCATGCTTTAAAGTTTTTTAGTACATTTCTAATATTCAAGTGAGACTATTGATATTGTTGAATTTGCACAGGATCAGCCAGCTGTGGAAGGTACAAGTATTCCAACAGACATCTCTGATTACATTGAAAGGATTGATCAGGATGAGGATGAGGAAGAGGTTTGAGCTTTAATGTTATAATTATTATAATTACAATAATGAGATTGCTTGTAGTAGTTGTTGTTTTTTTAATTTATCTTTGTGTATCTGTCAGCAAGTTGTATTGGTATTCTTATTACAGACCTGCTTTTATCTTTACTATACTGTACAACTTAAACACAGATCTCTGACCCAGAAAACGGGAAATTCCCATTTTGATTTATGAGCATTTTGAGCTACAGAATCTGCTGTTTAGTGATATGTCAATTTGTCAGATAAATTTATATTTTTATATTAGTGAAATGAGTTACGACAATGACAACATACTCTCAACAAGGTTTCATCATTTTGATGGTTTCATCAAAGGACCTAGAAGTTAGATCTGCAAATGACTTCATTAAGGGGTTATTGTATAATGAGACTTATATAAAATGCATTGGTTTTGTTCAAACTTGTTTTCAGAGCCAGACATACTCATTTGAGGTTGCACAGGAGCACATTGAAACATTACAAAGAAAGTAAGTTCTGCTAATTTGCTGCAGCCCTCCTCCAAACGGGCCTTAGATAGAGACACACACAAGCAATTTTTGTTGAGTTTCTATTCAATGTTTTTATTTTATCTTTTTGTGATCTCGCCCATCTGGACACCTTCATGATCGTCCCATCTCTGATCATCTCCTACTGCACAAGTAGGTACCTACCCACCTCCTTCACCCCACCCCCCACTCCCCTCACCTAATCACTAAAACACTAATTTTTTATGAAAGACTTGCACATCCAGTTAATCAAACTATACACCAAATGTATTATTTTTGTGACTTGTCCTAAGCAATTTTAGAAATTTACATGTTGATTTTCTCATCACAGGTGTATTGAACTGGATTATCCATTGTTAGCTGAATATGATTTCAAAAATGACTCAGTAAATCCTGACTTAAAGTAAGTTACTCAATGCCGTTGTTACGTTGTTAAATGCTTCAGCCCTTTATAATAAAATGTTTCTCAGTCAGTGAAGTGGACAGGGTAAAGTAGTAACCCGTACGTAGTTTCATATCATGCAGTATGATTTGTTGTTTTAATGAACATAACTCTAAGCATTTCTTCCTTAGTATTGACTTGAAGCCAACGACAGTATTAAGACCATATCAGGTACCTCATGTTCAAATGAATGTCTTAGATCTCAGATCTGAAACTAAGGTTTAAAAAATTTGTTACAGTTGTTAAGACAATGAAGCATTTCTTTCACAGTTGGAACAATCTTTGTTTGATCCTAACTGTATCTTTCAATCAATCAATCAATCAATCAATCCACTTTATTTAAACACGGTAAATGGCTCAGCAAGCTGAGATCTTTAAAAGAATACCTCTAGCTAAAAATGGGCGCTTTAAAGTTCACTTTTTCACAGATGGTAGCTTTAAGAAACTTTTTAGATCTTGGCCTTTTTGCAAGTAGTGTTCATCCAAAATCATTTTCATCAGGCATGGAGAGGGAAAAAATTTATTGGTTTTTATTCTACTCTCTCTAGGAAAAGAGTCTTCGGAAGATGTTTGGAAATGGAAGAGCGAGATCTGGCGTGATTGTACTTCCTTGTGGTGAGCTTTTCATTATTCTGATGACTTCTACCTTGAGTGGTGTGCGAAAGGAATTCTTCCAATTTTTTTAAACCTACTGTATTTTAGTTAGTTTATTTTCTGGTTCGACAGTGTCTTCAGATAACTTTCGCTTGAAAAATAGTGCTAAGTTCTGCAATCAAATCGTTTTTAGTGTCACAGTTTACTGGTCACCGTTTAGCAAAACTTTATTTGCTGGTCAGTGGTGCTGAAAAGTTCTTTTTCTACATTGTTGGTTTTGAAATGTTGTTCGCTATCAGGAGAAACGTTTTCTCAGGTTCTGGTGTTTTTTTCTGGATATGAACGTATCGTTTTATTGCATCTCATATCACAGGTGCGGGTAAGACCCTGGTTGGTGTGACTGCGGCTTGTACAGTGAGGAAAAGATGTTTAGTACTGTGTACTTCAGGTAAGCCGCTCCTTGTAACTCCCTGGAATAATTGTGGAAGTGTAGATCTCTAGAGGTTCCATTTTCACCCTTCAACTTATAATAGCCATTACTACGATTTATTTTCTTGAAGGTGTTGCAGTGGAACAGTGGAGGAGTCAGGTATTGTTCTGTCGTGTAAATATTTCCTGTTCCAGTTATTAATGTTCACACGATGTTAACTTTTCTTTTATTTTCAGTTCAAAATGTGGTCCACAATTGATGATCGCACAATCTGTCGTTTTACCTCTGATGCCAAAGACAAACCTGTTAGTGAGTATTGGGTGGGTGGGTGGAAGGGTAGGTGATGATTAAGATGCTGTATTGAAGAGTTGAGTGGAGTGGGGTGAGGAAGGATGGGGATAACAGAAACTGTCAGGGGGTATTAGATGTGTGAGTGGGGTGTGTAGGTGATGATAAAGATGCTGCATTGAAGAGTTGGGTGGAGTGGAGATGTTTTTATAACAGGTGTGAGTGGGGTGGGTAGGTGATGATAAAGATGCTGCATTGAAGAGTTGGGTGGGGTGGGGATGGGTATAACAGGTGTGAGTAGGGTGGTTAGCTGATGATAAAGATGCTGTATTGAGGACTTGGGTGGGGTGGGATGGGCAGAAAGCGTATCTGTGAGTATTGAAGATCAAGCTGGGATGTGAAAACAAAGTGTATTGAAGGGTCGCAGTGGTTTAAAGTTTGCTATCTATTGATCTTGCAATTTTATCCTGAGTGGAAAGAAATAACCCATACTGCCTGTAAAGCTTACAACCAGTGGCTGTGATCAATACACATCACACCTCTTGCATTGTTTACTTTGATGCTTACATAAGCACTTCACTGGTCCTATTTTACTGTCAACAGATTGTAATATAGCTATTTCAACTTATTCTATGGTGTCATTCACTGGCAAGCGATCTTGGGAAGCTGGAGAGGTTAGTGTCATGACATCTACCTCTAAGTTTGATTTCGTTTAACTCCATTGTCAAGCGTTTCAGCTTATGAATCCAAAAATGCAGTCATAGTCATTTTGAAACTTTATCTGTTTTTAAGGTGATGAACTTTTTACAGACTCAGGAATGGGGTCTGATGATATTAGATGGTAAGCCGTCTAAAGATTTAGTTTTCGTCATAAAAAAATATGTGTGCTCCATATTTATGACGCATCTTTCGTTTTTCTTTATTTAGAGGTTCATACGATCCCAGCCAAACAGTTTAGAAGAGTGTTAACAGGTACTGAGTTATGACTGATTAACAACCTTTTGTTGATATCATTACTGTCATAAAGATTTTTAACAGTTACTTCCATTTGCGAAAAACTGTAGTGGGCTTCCCTTTTCTGAAAAACCGTTGAAATCTCAGTTGTGCTGCAACTAAACAATCTAAGTTTTTTGTATTGCGCTTTTAAAAAAACTTTGATGCATGTGGCGCAAAAAATAAATTGAAGAAACATCAGAATGTGCAGAGGAAACTTCTAAATCGAATTGAGCTGACTTTGAAATACCTTAAACAACGCTCCTTTATAACAATTATTGAAGATTTTATTGTGAATTAATTTTATGTTGACGTGATTCTTGACTGGAAACCTGATTTCAATCGCTGTTGTCGCAACTAATCAGCAACTACCATGCTTTCCATATACAGTGTAACTGAATATTGATTTGTGAAAATGTGAAGCAAGGTAGTTATACTTCGTGTTTCTCTTTGTTTGACTAGTTGTTCAAGCACATTGCAAACTGGGACTCACAGCAACTCTGGTACGAGAGGATGATAAGATTCAGGTGTGTATGGACCTGCTGATCAGCCTTGAAAGATAGATTTGATTGTTTCGTTCTTATCAGCTCTGGTAAAAATGTAAAAATGGACTGTTTTGCATCCAGAAAAATGCTACACAAACTAGATGTATTTAATAGTGTTCATATGGCTTAACCATTAGGCTTGAAAAAAATGGCTGTGTGTCGGTGCAAATAACTATGTTCCTCAATTTTACAGGATCTAAATTTCCTTATTGGCCCTAAGCTTTACGAAGCTAACTGGATGGAACTACAAAACAATGGATTTATCGCACGAGTCCAGTGTGCAGAGGTATGATATCAATATTGACTTTTCCTTGCAGTTTTCAATTAAACGATTTCATACATCCTTTTGTCATAACTTGTGTTCTATTTCTAGGTGTGGTGTCCAATGACACCTGAGTTTTATAGAGAATATCTGAACATCAGAACAAGGAAGAGAAAGGTATTAAAAAACCCAACAACATGATAAACTTCTTATCATTTCAGCTATTTCTTAGACGATGTAGTGTAAATTTCAAGAAACACTATTTATTAGCTCTCCTGATTGATACGTAGGACTTGGCCATCATTTACCTTCGCTTATATGATCTGTCCACTTAACTAAAGAGATTCATCTTCGCTTTTCATATTATGTTTCATTCCAGTCACCACATTCTGGAATGCCTGGAATGTTTTCAAAATAATGGCTTATGGCTTCGCCCAAAAGGGTTACCTTTTTCAGGCTTCAGGTGTATGAAAGGGTAGGGATTTTAGTAGTTGAAGTGTATGAAAGGGTCGGGAAATCTGTCATTTGGATCTGTAAAAAGGCTCAAAAGGACTAACGGACACATTTTATGAATGCGAAAGAGACGAGAAAACTTCCTGGTTTACTAACGGTTGTTGTCTTGACCATTTTGCAGTTATCTCGGTGTGTTAGCTTCTAGATATCAGTTTACGCAGCCAGTCTTAATTGACTCAGCAGAGGAATAATTTATAGTACTTGAGTTTAAATTCATCTTTTCTTTTGTCGTTTTAGTTATTGTATGTTATGAACCCAAACAAGTTTCGGTCTTGTGAGGTGAGTACAAAGCAGCTGTCAGCTGCTTAATACTGTATTATGAAAGTGAATATATGAGGAACGTTTCATAAATTTTAAATACAGGAAAAAGATTTAACATACTATGACCTGGTACAAAGCTGTTTTTCTCCTTAACTTTACTCCATGTGCTCATCATATTATTTTTTCCTCCGCAGTTTTTGATTCGTTACCATGAAAGGTAAGAAACTGAAAGCAAGGGCTTATAATCCAATGTGTTATAAAATCTTCAACCTAAGAAAGTTTGTCTCTTTAGACCTGCAAATCTTGTTATATATTTTCCTTTCTTCAGACGGAATGACAAAGTCATTGTGTTCTCGGACAACGTGTTTGCTCTCAAAAAATACGCTGAAAAATTAAAGAAGTAAGTTATGTGATTCATATCTGTAATTTCCAAATGTCTTATCGAGGCTTTAATGTATTGACTGATATCTCTGCTTTTAGACCTTTTATTTACGGGCCAACTTCTCAAGGTGAACGAATGCAGATTTTGCAAAACTTTCAACACAATCCTGTTGTCAACACCATATTCATCTCCAAGGTAAGACTCTCTGTGTTGTATTAGGCCCTGTCCACATCAATGCGTTTTCAAAAGTATGCTTTTTCGTTTTCATGGAAAACGTATCGATCGATTCGCTTCCATACTACCGTTTCGATGCGTTTTCAATTGTCTGCACAAAAACTTTCGAAAACGTGACGTAAGCTGCATCCTCAGAGACCCAGGGGCAGTCAGTCGGGTCAGGAGAAAAGGCGAGACGAAAGTTTAAAACTACGGGCCCCTGGGTACCGACTCTCACCGAACTATTTCCAAAAATTCAAGCTGATGCCGGCTCCTGATTGGGCACAAAAAATTCTTTGTATTATTGTGCCCAATCGGCGAACGGTTTCTCCTGAGTTCCTTTCGTGAGTTCGTACACGACGGCTACTGTCTCGATCACGCCTTGTCTGGCTAATGCACCAGAGAAATGCACACAGTCAGGAAACTTTCAGTTTGATATAAAATCCCCGTCTGCAGGGTTGTCAAAACGATTTTAAGGAGCAGGAGAATAAGAGAATGTAGCCGGCATGTGTCTCCCGGCGGGGCTGGTAGGGGAAGACATATCGCTACTGATATAAACACTTCAATCCAGGTTACTAGCAGCTGTCAAACATTATAGCATCGATACTGCGTCTGAATTACTAAGTGAAACTTTGGTAGAAGCATGCAAAGAAGCCGGATGAAAAGCGAGAGGCAGCAAAATTAAATGCAAACCACAAAACAAATGGTTCGATCAGGTCGAGGAACACATATCACTAGGGCTACGTGTATCCCAGGCAGGAGAACACATATCACTGGGAATGTGTTTCCCAGGTTGGGGAACACATATCACCAGGGATATGTGTTTTCCACTTAAAATCGTTTGGACAACCCTGCAGACGGGGATTTTATATCAAACTGAAAGTTTCCTGACTGTGTGCATTTCTCTGGTGCATTAGCCAGACAAGGCGTGATCGAGACAGTAGCCGTGGTGTACGAACTCGCGAAAAGAACTCAGGAGAAAGTGTTCGCCGATTGGGCACAATAATACAAAGCATTTTTTGTGCCCAATCAGGAGCCGGCATCCGCTTGAATTTTTGGAAATAGTTCGGTGAGAGTCGGTACCCAGGGGCTCTTTTGCCCGTACTTGAAAACTTTCGTCTCGCCTTTTCTCCCGACCCGACTGACTGTCCTTGGGTCTCCGAGGATGCGTTTTCGACCGCCCACATTAATACGATATGTATGCTTTTTACCTACTTTCAAGAGCGGTTTCAAATCATTTACGATGAAAAGGTTCATCCTATTAATGTGGACGGAAGGCCTAAAAGCGTGGAAATGTAAAACGAATTCTTGTGGACGGCGCCTTAGAAATGTCATGGATAAGCTAGCCCACACCTTACGGCATATCATTTATTTTTGTTTAATTTCCAGGTTGGGGATAATTCTTTTGATCTCCCTGAAGCAAATGTCCTGATTCAGGTAAAATGTACACAGTTAATTATGTCAATTGAGTTTGAATTCAGACAGTAAAGGATTTTCATCTCTATTTGCTTTTTGGTCAGATTTCTTCACACGGTGGCTCCAGAAGACAGGTTAGTGTGGTTACTTATTCCTCACTGAGTTACTTTCTCCTTAATGTCCAGAGTTAAGAGGTGGTTTATCATATCTTGAGTTCTCCTCTTTGTTAACAAATTAAGCATGTAGACATTTCCTGTAATTTGCATTTTATAGTGGTCTGTGTTTTTTGTGGCATAATTAAATGCTTTTATTTCTTCTCTTCTCAAACGAGGAAACCGTTACTTGTACAGGTGCAGTTAAATATTTATAATTTTTCAGCTCTGCTCTTTCTGTTGTTTTTATTAGTCTCGCTTGCGTAAGCAGCGAGACCCATAATCTGCAACGCGTTTTTCTTCGCATTTAGGACACAAAAGGGGGATCATTGTGCCAGGCGTTCCTTGTGGAGACCGTGGAAACTGGGAGTAGGAATCGTTGCATGATCGAGGCCGCGCATGTTTTGCGAATTAAATTTAGAGCTTTTCCGAAACGTGTCGGTCCACGAATTCAAAGCGTTGATTACTTTGGAACAAGTGAACACTAATGAGTGGTCGAAAAAAAATAAGAATCTTGATTAGCAAAGCTGCGATGGTCATTGTATGCAAAAAGTTCTTTTGATGAGCATGCGGTTTATTTTCAGCGATGATTGAAATGACGTGCCATGTAAATCACTTCTTTGATCTCTGGCAATGATAATCGAGGCCCTTGAATTTTCGTGTATTTATACACGCGTTTAGCCTGCGACCTCAGACGTATTTCTGGTCGTCGCTAACACGCATACTAAATCAACTCAGAAACAAATAAAAAAAATCGACGATAAACTAGGAAGTGAAAAACCTTTAGAGAGTAAATCTTGTTTCGTGTAGAATTAATCGCCCTCTTATTTCTCGATCCAATCTCAAAGCAAGCGAGACTGGACGTCGCTATAAGAGAGTTCTTGTCTCTATTTTTATTATTTTTAGTAGTATTCATTCCTTTATTTATTTACTTTATTTATTTGCTTTCTTAGGAAGCACAGCGTCTAGGAAGAATCCTCCGAGCGAAGAAAGGTAGCTTTATTTTTCAATTTGGTCATAACTTTAACCTCGACAAAAAGAAACAGAAGGAAAATATTTATCTTACTTCAGGTCACACCTTCCATGACTCCTACAAACGGTAAACGTTACTTATGCTTTATATTTTGTAGATATGGCTGCCGAGGAATATAACGCATTCTTTTATACGCTAGTCTCCACGGTAAGCAGAACAACTAAAGGCCTGATCTATTAGCATCTCACATAAATTCATAGGCTTTGATCCTTGCCTGCTGTCTGCATTCTTTTGAGCAGAATCTATTAGCTTTGTCTTTTTAGCTGAGAACATCGCAAGTCGTCTTCTCCTAACTACTTAGCCGGACTACGTCAGATAATATTCGAGCAAAACATACTTAACATTCAGTATCTGGGGTACTGTTCTTGCAGGAAGAGCTGCCCTTAAACGTTACACTAAATGTAAACTTACAAATCCTTCAGCCTGTCTAGATATTTTTCTTATACCCCGGTTACACAAGTCAAGGACCATTTGATCCTGTAAATAAGAAATCTTAATTGACAAGTTTATTCCGGGGCCTTGTCAAGGAAACTCATACAAACTGAATGGGACTTTGATTGTCATGATCGTCCTTTTCTGTTGCTTTCAATCAAGTAATAGCGTACGTTCTCGCTTTTCTGCCCAGCTATTTCTTAGTATGTGGTACCATGTTTTTCTACCTACAGGATACTGATGAAATGTACTACTCTTCAAAACGACAAAGGTTTCTGGTGAATCAAGGATACAGTTTCAAGGTGCGCTGATCTGCGTTACAGTTCTAAGGTGCAATCGTTTGTAATTGTTCTGTTCCGTGAGTAACTGTTCTTGTTTGTGTCTATTTTGAAGGTCATTACAAGACTGGCTGGTATGGAGGAGGTAATATTTTCCTTTCACTTAGAAATTGCTCTTGCACACTCCTTTGCGTGTCTATATATGGCCTGTGATGGGTTTAAATAAAACGTTAACAAGACTAAATTTGTAAATCAAGCGTGAATTAGTGAAGGTCTGTTTGTTGGAACGTAAGGTATATTATTATTGCATGAGAAAATGTAATTATACTTCTTTTCCAATCCGACGACAAGATTTCACTGACAAGACTTTGCGTAAGAGTACTCTTTTTAATCCAAACAAATGTTCATAGCATTTCTTAAATTTGCTACTTTGGCGAAGGAACAAATTCATAGGATAACAATGAGGCTGCATTGGGATACATGTACAACGTTCATGTTTAATGATGTCCACTTATCAATTGATCAAACACTCCATTCTTAAGCTAAAAGATCAGTTGGTAACAGCTAACATTTGAGCATTCATATTGTCAAACAGGAGAATTTAGAACTGGGAGACAAGAGAAAGCAACAAGAGCTACTTCAGCAGGTGTGTATACTGTTTAATTTGCAAAATCCGTTAGAAATGACCTCCTCTATCCTCTCAAAAATAGTTTTATGCTTAATCCAGCTGAAGGTACGGTCTCGGGGAATATTTTGTTTGTAGTCTGACTATTCGCAGCCTTCTGGTGACATCATCTAGTGAGTGTACTCCTGAATATGACTGTTGATGACAGTGTGTTTGTTTACACTCAATCTTGTGACATATCTTGTAACGCTTTGCTGTGCAGGTCCTTGCTGCTAGTGATGCAGATGCTGATGAAGAAAGAGTCGCATCTGATTCAATCAGCCGCAGCAGTTCATCGGTGAGTGCTTTTTATGATGAGCGAGGGGAGCTGTGGGCCACGAGTGAGTGGAGGTATATTCAAGCCAGACGGGTGGCAAGAGAGAAGTATGATCGGAGTGCGGAGAACTATACAATTGCCATCGTCAGAGTTTTATTATCCGGAAATGCGTGGTAACAATTTATGTCATTAGTATGATGGGGCTGGGGAGTTTTATACTTTAGGTATGGGATTTGCTCACTGTTATAGGTTCGTGCTGTGATCTGGGAGGGGAGGGTGGGTGTACAATCCCGTTGGAGGGGATACAGGTGTGTCACATCGGAGTCAGAGATCAGAGAGCATGGTTATGATTTGACAGTCCTAAGATGTCAGTTAATTGTGTTTGTATTATATTTATTTTGTAAAGCTAAATGTGGCAAACACTTTAATTAAGTTAGTCAATCATTTACTTTTCCATTTGTGACCCAGTGACAGAGTACTTCTCCTTTACAATGAGATATGATCTCCTCGTGGTTTTTATTTTAGAGCTCTTTGGTGTCTCGTCGACAAGGTTCTATGGCGTCCATGTCGGGAGCAGATGACATGATATACCTTGAGTACAAAAGCGGCGCTAAACAAACCAAGAACCGCCATCCACTTTTTAAACAGTTCAGGAAGAAATGAGTGTACACGTCAGATATCTCCATCCCTAACGCGTTAAAATGACGGAAAAGAAGAACACATCCAAGTTGAGGAACCATTTCTCTTAGAGCGCAATTAATATTTCAAGCCTTAGAAAGTGGTTATTTACTGAAGAAAAGCGGAAAAAGTGTTACTATTTGTTCTCATCGGTCTAGAATCTTGTTCCAAGCTGAACCCAAAGTGTCTCAGCAAATCAAATTAAAGATTATTTATGACTTTTCTGTTGATGCTTTGTTGTTGTGATAAAACTTCTTCAAATTAGGTTTAAATAGTTTGCTGTGACAGATGACGTCAATTTATTTTTTATGGAGGATTCTCGCCAAGTAACACTCGGGACTTTTCAGCCATAAAAGAGAAAATAATAATGATAACAACAATAATAATAATCTTCATTGAAATTAAAGTGAAATTTGACATTACAAGTGAAGTAGAATCATATCGCTAAGTTATAATTTAAGCACAGCCTAATTACAAAGCAGTTCTTAAAGCACTTAGTGTGTTGCATCTTAATGAATTCATTGATACAGCTTCCACCAGTTCTGTAGGCAAATTGGTTGAAGATGTTAAGTGCCCTTTCAAAAGCTTGTGCTATTACGGGGGTCACACTACTGCCTCTAAAGTCCTCACAAATCGAATTTAGGTTCGCTTCCTGCCACGTCGATAGCTGCGGGGTTGTGGCGCTTACAGGTACTTCTATCAGTGTAGGTTTAATATACCTCTCATCCTTGCATGAATGCCCGAAGAACCTGCTTAACTGTTCTAGAAAGCTATCATCTAAGTTTACAACTGCCCTGTCCTCCCGTCGAGTACTGAAACCTCCTCTTCCTTCCATTCCCTCTAGTTAAAGCTTTACGACCTTTGATGATACAATTAATTATTCCTTGCTTTAGTTGCGACATGGCGTACGTGCCGACAGTTGTCCAGTCCCACTAGGATAAACGTTCTTAGGCAATCTTTTATCTAAGGGCGCTTTCCAGAAGTCAAAACTGGCTGGAATGACCATGACCTGTTTCCATGGTAACTTACCTATTTATCATGCTATCTATTTTTCTCATTTTTGGTTTATCATTAACCTCTCATGAAAATTTAAATTCAAATTTTAGGAGTCGTTATGGTGTTTTCTTTCAATGTAGCTTTTAAAAGAATCTGTCCTGTTCAAATATTGTAGAATTAACAATTACAGTCAAACCAGGTCAAGCGTACCCCCCAAGAATCCATTAACGAAATTATTATTCGAAAGTTGAATCCGTTGCTAGATGTAGGGCGCGATCCATTCAACCAAAATTCCAACCGGTCCGACCGGGAAAAGTGGTCCACCTCAAAAGGTGGACCCGTTTTTTCGAAACTTTTCCGGTTGGACCGAACCGATCCATTGAGTTTTGGACCGAAATTTCCGGGAAATTTTGGTTGAATGGATCGCGCCCCCTCTCGCGCGCCCGTTCTTTCTTCGCGACCAAATTCTTCCCGGCGCCTGCTAAGCAGGCAACGCCTCGGCCAATCTTTAAACTGCGGCCTTCATAGCTGACGGAAAAAACTATGAGCAGTCTAATATTTTTCTTTTGAGTCACGAGATTTATGTCTGCGCAGGGTTATGAGCTCCCTATCCTGGACGTTGGTTGAGCCCCCAGACGATCCGCGCGGGAAAACTCACTTCTTAGCAAAATAAAAACGCTAACGTTTGGGGTGACTATCCGGCTTCTCCGGCAAATCAACTCGCCTTGCCTAGTCCCCAGGACTCATTATTCCGCGCGTTCTATGCCTTTCGTTTCGCATACGTCACCGAAATGTATTGACCAAGAAAGCCTGGGAAGACGCTGTAGGCTGAGAAAACAGCCGACAGTACTCGACGCCACCTTAGGCTTGGATAAATTCTGCTCGTAAATGGCTTATTCTGCCTGCTGGAAGTGCTCGTAAAAATAGCTTATTCTGCTGAAAAATTTGGCTCGGACACTCTTATTCTGCTCGACTTCTGCTCGGTATTCGAAAAACTTTTCGGCCCTTCGGGCCTTTTCGGATGTTGCATGTCGAATTTCGGATTTCAGATGTTGATTCCGGATGTGGGATATCAAATGTCCGATGTCGGATGGCACCTATAAGCTTCCGTACCAAAACAAAAAAGAGCTTGGTCAGTTCGTCAAACAAACCTACCAGAAAGGAAAGAGACGAAGAAACGTGAGGGAAAAGGTTAATAGCCAGCAAGACAGAACACTGAAGCTTATTATGGCGGCACACCACCTTTTGAGTGGTCTTCTCGTTTTCATCGAGCACGACTCTCTTTGGATCCAACATAAGGACATGCAAAATACCTTGCCAGAACACATGTTTCATATGGCTGTCTTCTACCAAATACACTTTCATAAGGGGTGGCCTTGGGAATGATTGTCAAAATAGTTGATATCTCTTGATATGTCGGAAAGGATTGGTGATTAGTTCTTTCTTGCCCACTTTTTTGAAAAATTGAGCGAGTTGGAACTTCGCCAAATCCGCCAAACTACATTCCCAGAGAAAAGTAGTTGGGAAGGTTGTACAACTTAACAGTACGTCCATTTTAATCCTCACAAAAGAGAGTTTTCTCTTTTGCTAAATATCCCCTGTCCCCCCGGCCCTATTCAAAGAAAAACTTACGCATCCAAACATAAAGTTTTGCTCAACACTGGGTTAGCGGCAAGGGGAGGAAGGGGAAAAAAGGAAGAAAAACGGCCTTCCCAACACTTTTGACGACAATTGTAAACAGTAAACTGGTGCCTTACGGCAGGAGGCTTGATAGGAAAAATAAATAAAGAAAAAATATTAAAATGGTGAATTATATTTGTGTCAGGTATATATACGGTATTTTACAAGGGGGGCCCGTTGAAGATTTGTGTTGCAAACCTAAATATCGGGCAAATATAATTCACCATTTTATTTTTGTTTTCTTTCTTTATTTTTCTATTACTCTTCCTGCCGTAAGGATCAGTTCTGACTGTTTTAATTTTAAAATTTGGTACTGCAAATTTTACTGATCCAGGCCCACTAAAGATCTGGCCCACCCTCGAGCGGTATGTCGCGCGTTGAGTGGTTTTGCCTTCAAAAGTGTTTCCGCCAAACTAGGACCTTTGTAGCACTGGGGGGTAATCTCGTACCCAGATCTTGGTACGAGATTAACTGGGGCTCCACGAATCAGTTCGGATCCTCGGGAGGGATGGATTTTCATCAAGAAATTCAAACGTAAAGTTTGTTTCTGGATTTCTTGTTCGATTAAAAAAAAAATCCGAAAATAAGGATTTCAATTTTCCAATCGCAGAATATTTATTTTTTGTGCCACGGTTCCCGTGATAAGATAAAGTTTTGGCTCACCAGCACCACGATCGACTGAGCCGGGACTGAGCCTACCCCTGCAAGGACATCTGTAACCGCTGAATGATTCCTTGAGTGCGTGCATGCTCAAAACGCATGGTACAACAACAAAAATGGCGGGTCAAGGATCTGATCCTACGGATGCTGAAATTAAGGGCGCTTTTCGCGCGGGTCACTTTTTAAGTCTTAGAAACCGGAAACCGCGCATGAAAAGCCTCTGGTACCCAGGGTAGTGCAAGAGAGTGTGAACGGGGACAGTGTATTGCCTCGCTTTTATGAGAATGACGTCATCCCGGAACTGAGGAACCATTCGATTTATATTTGGAAGCGACTTCGATAGCACTTTGCTGAAACGATTTTCGCAGTGTCAGAGGCTTCAAACGTTAAATCATGTCAGGACCAAAATCTGATATCTTCAATAGGCCATCGTCCTGTCTAAAACAGTACGAAAATGATGAGATTTTTAGTATGATTGGTCGTCGCTGTACGGTAAGTTGTTTCTCGACAGGCCCTGAAGTCTATATAAGACTTACAGTCTGTAGTTGTAAATTGAATAGGCTTAATCCTAGATGTTTTGCCCAAACTTGACTTTGCATTGCATCACATTTGGTTCTTTCAGACTTTAGCTACATCCGTAGCTCAGCTTTACGTTGCTCCACCTGATTCTCGAAACAGATGGAAAAAGAAATTAACAGGAGTCATTTGCTTTGTGAAGGACAATGGAAAGCGTTCGTACTTCCTCCGCATGTACAACCTTGTGGTATGTTAGCTGCTCTCGATGAAATCCGCACCAAGTATTTCATTGTTATCTTTTGTAATCGCTCAGCTGAATGACCATTTGATTTTGATTTGCTGTTCACATTTGCTTTAGACAAAGACTCTGGAGTGGGAGCAAGAGTTGTACAATCAGTTTAAATACGCTTCTCCAAGGCCTTACTTTCACACCTTTGCATGCGACGTGAGTTTATAAAGCTGGTATTTTATGATATTAGACTTATTTGTTCTAAAAAAAACATTTTAAAATGACATCGAGGTGTGCCAAGTGAATTAAAATGTATCGATCTAGCTATCTTAAATCTGGAAATTATGACGTAAGGGGGATTGACCATGGGGACATATGTGAGTATAGCAGGACTTGTTGACATTTGCTGCCAATGTTTAGTCTGGATTGGGGTTATTGGATCACTTTTGCACTTTTATTGCAAGATCCCCATGGAAAAATACCCAAGGGATTTGTAATCCGCCGTTTTTTTCTTTTATTTACCCTCGGCAGTATTTATAGCACTTATGCTAGTGGGGCCGATCAAACGACTGAAACAAGTAATTCAAATCAAACGTAACAGGGTCAAGAATCCCAATTGGCCAGAGGCAAACCAGCTGGCTATTTACAAGCATGGTCAAGGATTTGAACTCAGGACTACCATGAACAAATCCAGCTAGCGTTCAGGCAGGGACTTAAACTCAGCACCTCCAAATTGCAAGTTCAGCGCTCTAACTGTGCGACCACGCTGCCTCCACACTCAGTAGAGAAGAACTGGGAGAGAGAATAGACCAAAGCCGACATGCAGGGTTCTCAATAGATTTTTAAGTAGGAGGTGATCACTGATAAAGTAGGAGGCTCTTCAGCAAAGCCAGAGGTGTCAAAACAAAGCAAAGAAAAGCGACTTAAACACAAAGTAAGCAGCCATAAATCCCAAAGTAAGCGGCGATCAATCGCCGGGTGCCGCCTTCTATTGAGAACCCTGGACATGTACCAAGATTGTTTAACCCTTGCCATTTTTCTATTTTCATATTAGACCAGGGGGCCGTGACACAGCTCCTTAAAATGTCATTTTCCTGTACATGTAATGTTACTCTAAGGGGGGAAGGGTACTTCATTATAGGAGGCTAATGGGATGTGCCACTGGATGGGTCACATTTTCACAACTGGATTGACTATCATAAGGTCACACATTTTCCGATTTTTGGGGGTAAGACAGTTCATATTTACGGTTAGCAAACATTCCAGAATGTTTGTACTGTAGAAGGAAAGTGAAGTATTCTTCATTCAATCTAAAAAATGGGTCAATTCATTAAAATAGAAAGTGACTAAGTTGGGATAGCAAAAATTACCTATTTGCCCAAAAGTAACTAAGATGGGGTCTATAATTGGTCACAGAATAGACTTTAATGGGTTAGTTTTGTCTTTGTCATTGTATAAAAGGTTGTATTATTTTCATTGTCAAATTTTACTTTTGATAATTGCATATTTTGCACAAAAATAAGAGTTATGACAGAATGGTCATACTGAAAGAAGAATCAGAGCAGTTTAGGTTATTTACAAGCTCATATACTTTGTCCTAGCCTGCGTAGCAGGTGCTTGGATGTAGTGGGCGCAAGAAAGAAGAGGCACACGAGAGGGAGACACACGAGGGGAGAAGGAGCACCTGCCTGGAAGGCCCATGAAAATCATCTCCCGCCTCCAATGTAATTATCTGGCAGCCACTGCGTGATCTGTCAAAAATTTTGACAGAAAACAACTGACCTCACACGAACAAAGCGTGCCGCAAAAAAGCGTTGTACATTTTATCCTCGGTCTAAATATATCTGTTATAAAGATCAGCTGGGTTATCTGATTATAGAGCTATGGAATGATAAAGTGTCAGTTAACACACAGCTTTAAATCATTTTTAACCGGGGCCATAATAAATAGGAAAGAGCAAAGTCAAAAATGGGTATCTTTTAAAGAATGCATGGTGTGTAATATAAAAAGCTATCAAATATTGTTCTATGAGCTTCCTTGGTTGCAACTGTACAGACACCAACGAACAGAGTGTACATGGAAAATGAACATTGCTTTTACTGCGCGAAGTGGCAACTGTTTTTGGAACAGGCATGTCTTACTATGCGAATGTAAACTTCAGAACACAAACTGTAGCAAGATGTTTTCTGCTGCAGCAACAAGACATAAACAACAGACCTGAGGTCGATACACTAGTGAAAGGTGTTTCAAATTCATGCCCCCCATAAGTGTTTCATTTCATCAATCCTGTCCAAGTTTTGATGGTATGCATTTCATCGACAACACAAGTCACCAAGTTCTCCTGAGCAAAGAATATTTCCTCTGATCTTCATTTCATCGATTCGACAAATCGTTTTGTCTCCCACCACTTCTGCTAATGCGTATCAGATGTCAATTCTTTCCATCATGAATACCGTTTGAACACTCCATTTTTTCTTTGAGATTACAGCCACATATATTTTAGTCCCATTAAACCAGATTGAAGTGACCTCCGAGACCTGAACTTCTGTTATACCATTTGGTAGTATCAGGAGCTGGTGGTGTAATATAAGACCTTCACTACGTTGTCCATGTACTATTAATTGACAGTTTTCTCTCCTAGCGCAGTTACTTTTTCTCTCTGGAGCCTCTCAACCAATATTATTGGAAGTATCTGCACTCACAGAATGCAGGTTGAAACAATTTTCGTGGGCCTTTGGGGTAGGCACTCCCTCTCCCCTCACGTGTCTCCCCATCGCAGGCCTGTTCTTTCTCGTACCCACTACTTCCAAGCGCCTGCTACGCAGGCTAGGACATAGTATATGGGCTTGTAAATAACCTAAACTGCTTTGATTCTTCTTTCAGTATGACCATTCTGTTCTGACTCTTATTTTTGTGGAAAATATACACTTATCAAAAGTAAAATTTCACAAAGAATTGATATTATGATATGTGCATATTTTTTTTTAGACTTATAATGCTGGCCTTAATTTTGCAAATATTGAAGAAGCCCATAACTTTTTCAATGAGATACAAAAGAAGCTGAAGGCAAAAGAACAGAGACGACAAGGTGATGGTTTAAAATTGAAAAAAAAAACCATAAAAAAGTAATAACAGAGAGTAACCACTAATAGAGAGACCAACCTCCAGACAGCTTAAATACCTCCCAGATAAACCACCCCAGCCCCCCCCCCACCCCACCCCATAAACACATTACGCAAGTATGGGAAATATACATGTAAGTGTATGGATGCCCATATTTGGCTCAATCCATGCCCCGCGAAGGAATAAGCCAAAATATCCAAGTTTCGTTCATTCCTTTGTGGTCCTGTTTTACATTCTGTTTTTTACTGATAAGTTTATGCCATACAGGCACCAAAGATTTTTGTAGGGAGTAATGTATCAAATTCTGGAACTAATAAAAACTTGACTAATTTGCAGATAGAAGAAAAGACACTTCAAGGAACAAACAGCAACCACCCCCTCCAGCCCTAGGAGGAAATGTGGACATAAACAAAAGAGCTTCTTTACAAAACAGTGGTGAGATAATAATAAAATTTATCAAACTCCTCCATGAGGAGGCCAGTCCATCCACTTTAAAGTTGTTTTCAGGAAAACAAGCATAGTGAGCCGGGCCATGACATATTTAGCCCAGATCCCAAGCCGCCAAAAACAATGAGCACCTAGCAGGAGACAGAAGAAACATCCACTGTACTTTTACCTTGAAATAACAAGAACAACAAACTTTTGCAGACAGAAGTTACAATTTATTATTTTGTGACCACATGTGTTTCTTCCTAGAGTAGATATAAATATACTGGTAGATTCTCCTGTTACCTGTCTGTATGGAACCAAGGGATTTAAATTACCCAATGCTTCAAGCTCATAAAAGGTTTTATGATTGTGTTTTCTCCAAAGATAATTTTAGCAACATGAGCCACTCACCATCTCAGACAAGTCTTTCATCATTGGATGCTCCATCAATGCAAAGAAAAAAAAGCAAGGAACGTAAAGAGAATAAGTCCAGCTCTGGCAATAACAAGAAAGGTGGAAAGAGAAAGCTCACCAAAGATGACATTGGAAAACCTGAGAACTTTAAGTAAGTTGTAATGGTAAACTAATACTGTTAGTATGTTCCCGTCATGAGATTTATTTTAAAGCAGGTACTGTAAATAACATATTGGTAAATATCAAATATTGCTGGCAAAACATAATTTTTTTTGCATTTTCACAGGCATGTTGGACACATTGGTTGGGATCCTCAAGGTGGATTTGATGTAAGCATACCCATAATTTTTTAGCATTTCATTGCTATTAATATTGTAGTAATTGCAAGTAATGTCCATCTGGAGTCATTTTCATTAGATGAGTACCAGGATTCACAATACTATTTTGTAATAAAATCACTATACCTGGTTCCATACTGTTAATGATAAGCAGAATAACCATGACTTTTAATCAACACCACCCAAAAGGTTTCTGTTACTAACCCAATTTCTTGGTGGTGGTATAGTGGTGGAGGTGGTGGTGGTGTTTATGTAAGGTAAAGGTAAAGGCGCACACGAGCCAAAGGCCGAAACAGCCAGAGCTTATCCAATTTTCCGTAGCATGGAACACCTAGGAGTATTGCTACCCCCCCTGGAGAGGATGCAAGTTCATCCAGGGTTACCCCCAGCAGTATGTCACCGGTACCCATTTATACACCTGGGTGAAGAGGGACAAGGTGTAGTAAAGTTCCTTGTCTAAGGAAACAACACAATGAGCGAGGCTTGAACCCCGGACCTCCAGATCCGGAGTTTGAGGTGTTAACCGCTCAGCCACACTTGCCTCCACAATTATTTAGGTGTTAATCCAACACTCAGCTGTGCAACTGATTTTTTTTAAAACTCATTCATGTTTTTATTGCAGATTGACAATGTACAAATGGATGACAACTGGAAAAAACTCTTTGATTTGGTTGGTGTGACTGATGAACAGAAGCAAACAAAGGAAACCATGGAGTTCATTTATGACTTTGTGGAGAAAAGGGGTGGAATTGAAAATGTTACACGGGAAATAGAGATGGAGAAATTCAGGGGCCCTCCATCATTGCCTTCTAGAGATTTAGGTGATTATCTCATAACTGCATATAATGAAAGAGAAACGTTCAGGGTTTGCAAATTTTATTGATGAGTGGAGTTAGTGTGACTTCTGCTTCACAAATTTTGGAGTCATTTTGGAATATTTGGAGTCAAGTATCACAACGAAAAAAGCAATTTTCAGACTTTCCAGCATGTGGTCCTGGCATGTACACACTATCGTGAGGGATACACGAGGTAGCTGTGGCGGTCCGCTGACCTAGAAAGCTCAAATCCATGATGGCAGTCATCGAGTAACTTTGATTGTAATTTACCCTCTTCCTGTTTTGTCTTGCAGTATAATTCTTTAATTTTGATGATTTAATTAAGGTTTACAACGTTTACGATCAACGTAAATTGTATTTGATTCAAAAAAGGTAAGGACAAAACTGTGTTTGTTACCGAAAATTTCTGGAGTCGAAGTGGCTCCCTATTTGTTACCGAAAATTTCTGGGAGTCGAAGTGACTCCCTCCATAACCTCAGTGGAGTCGTCTGAACAATTTTGGCGTAAAATACGCCAAATTTGGCGTATTTGCGAACCCTGAACGTTACTTGTTAGTATTTCTTGGCCAGTGTATGTCAATGTTTCCATTTGTCACTGACTTAGTAAAGGCTCTACTATGCTTGTGTGATTACTGGCACATGGAAACTGCCGATGGTGAAAGATGATTTTGTGAGATATCTTATGGTGATTAAGTAAGGTAAGGTACAACAGGTCACTTTCTATGGTAATATTATGCCAGCATTTTCTGTTAGGATAGTCTACAGCTAGATAGACTAGTTTTGATTAACAAATGCTTGTGTTGAGAAACTTTTTTGACTTTTTGTTTTCAGCACCTCCAGCCCCTTCCAGAGGCCAGTCCCGAGGACCTCCACCTCCCCCTCCCCCTTCACGAGGGGCCCCACCACCACCTCCAGCCAGGATAGGAGGAGCTCCACCACCACCTCCCCCATCTCGTGGTGGCCCTCCACCTCCTCCTCCCTCAAGAGGAGCCATGCCACCTCCTCCCCCTCCCATGTCTAGAGCACCTCCTCCTCCTCCAGCTGGCGTACCCCCTTCCACCAGCCCCTCCCCCTCCCCCACCAGTTGGTGGAATGCCTCCACCGCCACCACCCATGGGCAGAGGTGGTCCCCCACCCCCTCCTCCTGTTGGTGGTGGTCGAGGGGCTCTACTGGACCAGATTCATCAAGGAGCCTCACTTAAGAAGGTAACACCTAATGAAAGGAGGAGTAGCAGCTCTGATGGAAGGAGTGGCTTGCTTAGTGATATCAGAACTGGTGTACAACTCAAGAAGGTAATAACAATTTACTACATTGTAAGCTAAAAATATCTCAGACTGACAAACTAATTATTATTTTACTGACTTACTGGCTCTTAGCCAGGCCTGGCTGACTTGCTGACTGACTTTCTAGGATAGAAGCAATGTCCTTTGATATCCAAGCAAAGGAATCCTGTGAGTCAGCACAGAAATTGAATCCTGAAGAATAATTGCAGACTCCTTGATGTGATTATATATTTTAATTTTGCGACTGAAAATCCTCTCTTGGTACAATTCATGCATTCAAGATAGCTGCTGGATACTTACCAAGTTCTTTTTTATGTTTTCATGAACCAAGAAAGTTGAGGTCTATAAAAACCCCAAAAACAATGAGGCCGATATCCAGCCATCCTGACCAAACAAGCTTGGTCATTAAAGGATTTATTATATGGCCAAAAAGAGAACTTTTTCTTGTGGAACCAATGCAGGAAATCTCGCGCGGGCAATGCAAGGCGGCCTCATCTTGCTTATTTGGGTAGCTAGTCAGACAGAAAAAGGATTCACCTCATCATGTCTGCTCACAGATTCAGCCATGTAATAAGTAAAATACAATACAAAGCCCCCATGAGGAGTAAGTTGTAACGTGATTCATCTGATCTTGTTAACAGGTATCAGAAGTGGATGGTAATTCAAAGCCTAAGGCTTCTGCCGGTGCTGATGGTGGGGGTATATTAGGTGCTCTTCAAATGGCATTGGAAAATATCAAGAAAGACACTCACTCCTCAGGTATTCTTTATTATTAAAATGCAGGGATCTGCAGGGTTATCAGACTGATTACCCTCTATCCTCCTCTGGTGTTCTGGGCTCCAATATAGTAATGTGCATAGATCGTGATCGCGACCTCCATACTATCTGAGAGTCTAACACAAGTTTGTTGCCCTCAAAATAAAGCACCCGGTATTTGCAGGTGGATAGAAAGAAAATGCTTTATAATTGTGCTTCTGCTCTGAACTGTTAGTACTTAAGTACTTTTTACTGTTACTGACAATTGAAACAGTTGTTCAGACTTCTGTTAATAGTAATAGATTCGAAAGTGAAGAATGATCATCGCAGTAAAGTTTCCAATTTAAGCAATTGGAAAGAAGAAGCCTGAAAAAATCAGGGCTTAAACGGGATTCGAACCCGTGACCTCCGCGTTACCGGTGCGTTGCTCTACCAACTGAGCTATGAAGCCACACATTGGGAGCGATATCAAAAATGAATTATTTCATATATACTTCACATCATTACACTCCTCACGGGAGATATGAACTCAATAAATTGACCTCGCTCCCAGTGTGTGGCCTCATAGCTCAGCTGGTAGAGCAACGCATCGGTAACGCGGAGGTCACTGGTTCGAATCCCGTTTAAGCCCTGATTTTTTCAGGCTTCTTCTTTCCAATTGCTTAAATTGGAAAATTTACTGCGATGATCATTCTTCGCTTTCATCTACAACCGCATTTCAAAAATGAATTATTTCATATATACTTCACATCATTACACTCCTCACGGGAGATATGAACTCAATAAATTGACCTCGCTCCCAGTGTGTGGCCTCATAGCTCAGCTGGTAGAGCAACGCATCGGTAACGCGGAGGTCACTGGTTCGAATCCCGTTTAAGCCCTGATTTTTTCAGGCTTCTTCTTTCCAATTGCTTAAATTGGAAAATTTACTGCGATGATCATTCTTCACTTTCATCTACAACCGCATTTCAAAAATGAATTATTTCATATATACTTCAGTAATAGATTCCTTTTCAGGTGAGTGTAATAGTCCGCGTGTTCGTTTTTTGTTTAGTTCATCTTCGGACAGATAAGGGTAACGCTAGGCGTCTATGAAGTAACGTTTGATTTAAGACGTGGTATTGTTCAAGAACTGTTGTTAACTTGAACTGTTTTTGTTGAATATTTCAGATAGTGAAAGTGGTGAAAGTGGCTCTGAGTTTGAGGATGATGAAGATGAATGGATGGACTAACCTCGTGACATGTCATGAATTTCTGTCCCGTCTTATTAAACTTAAACTAATAAGTAGTTTTTCTCAGTGATCTGGATACCAGGTGGTCGAGCAAGTCTAAACCACTTCAAGTCGAATAACTCTCATTTTAAATGGTGGTAAATTAATTTAATTTCAATAATATTAATGTAGCTTCGCCTTCAAGCAAACTGAGGCTCGATTCTGCAATCAAAAGCTCTATTTTCCGTTCCATTTTGGAACAAAGCAACTGTATATTCGTATCTCACCGAAAGTTGATCGCTCAGGTTTTTATGATTGTATCTGATACTGGTCACAGGAACCTTCTTTTCTTATGGCGAACTGGGTTTGGATAGTTTTCAGGTTTCGTTGTGCAACTTAACTTTTGATTTTTCCAGTACAATTTTTAGGCATGAATAACCCTTCTGGGCGTAATAAATGTGCGTCATTTTCAACATTTGATGTTTATTGTCAGTTAATTCATTGTTTTGATGGTCAATGATTATGTGTTAGTTCTTCCGAAATTATAAGCGTTCGTAACACATCGTCTTCGTTTGTGTGCTTCTCAGACGCTCATGTATTATCGTCACGCAAAAATAAGCGTAGCTGTGTGTTGTTTTGTAAATCATAAACGTCGTAAGTGATGGAACAGTGATGAATAAGCTAGAACCCTAAATCTGATACCGACTTTCTGAACGGAACACTATGCTTGCCGGAACAAATGCACTGTAAGCCGGTAAATGTATTAAACTGATTTTGCGCTTTTTTGTCATAAGCTAAGTAGTCTGTAGGGTAGTTTGCTGCCATTGTTTGACAGAAAATTTCCATGTGAAGTGCATCTTTTTTAAGCGTACATGTTCGTGTAATTTTATCTTTCTACTTCGTTTAGCATGTTCTGAAGTGGATTTTTCTAGAGAGTAAGACAATAGATAATAAATTATAAATTGTTCTGTGATGAATTATTACGGTGACAGCAACTAATGTACAACATGAGGTAGATAGCAAGAATATACCGGGTGGCAAAATAAATTAATTAATGACTTGGTTAATTTTTCTGACAATAAAAACAACTGAAGAAGTGACATTTTTTGGTCATCGTTTGTATTGTTAACTGCTCGCTATTGCCGACCCACGGACTCAGCTGGACTCTGCGAGTATCGTTACCCTACTGTTCCAGGCGTTTAACCCTATTTCTACAAACTATACCGTTTGCTTCTATACCAGAGTGCAAACATTAGCCTTTTAAAACAGCACACTACAAACAGTTACACGGTACAGCTATGGGCTCTCCAGTTTCTGTTGTTCTAGCAGAAATTGTCATGGAAAACATCGAGGAACAAGCCCTAGCTACCTACACGCGAACTGTACGTCTTTGGTTACGTTACGTTGACGAGACATTCACCGCCGTACACAAAGACGGAATCGACGATTTTCACGAACACCTTAACAGACAGAACGCGGACATACAGTTCGCCAAGGAGATCGAAGAAAATGGTAAGATACCTTTTCTAGACTGCTTGGTCACTCGCAACAACAAAAAACTAAAAACGACTATTTACAGAAAACCGACACGTACCGACCGATGAAAAAAATAACAACAACAACAAGTTTATTCGGTATTACCATTTTGCACAGGTGTTACCGATTAAAATAACAATAATAAACAATTAAATTTAAGGAAATGAAGATATGATGGAACGGTAGAATTAACTATGTTTCTTTCGTCTTTCGAATGCTTGAAAGATGAAATTAGCAGCTAGCCTGCTGATATGTGAATCAGTATTGTTAAAAAGAAAACAGACTTTATCATGGATATTGTAGTTTGTAAATAATGTATTTCGGTCGTTGATTTTAATAAAAAGAGTCTTTCTCAAATTGTTGTATTGATCACAGTGAAATAATATGTGCAGTTCATTTTCAACTGAATTTTGGTTGCAATGATCCAGATGATCACAGATTCTAAGGTCTTCAGGAGTTTTGGGGATTGTAAATCTTCCAGTTTCTGTTTTTAAATTGTGATTTCCTATCCTAAATTTGGAAGCTACACGCCTATGTTCAGGATTCCGGATATGATTGATGAATTCAGAGTGATTTGTTTCATTTTTAAAGATGGAGTAGAATTTTAGTTTTTTATTTGTTCTTATCAAATTTAGCTGGTGGTTTTTCAGTTGTTTTGTCAGATTATTCTCAGCATTGGATAGGAAAGTAGAAGGGTTTTTAAAGTTAACTGATTGTTTATCAATATTAAGTTGTGTACTCAAAAGATTTATTTTATTTATTAGACCTGATTTATTTTCTTCGGCCATTTTATCTGATATGTTTAAGCAGAGTTTAGCAATGCTGTCAGGGGGTTGATTTTCAAGGTGAATCCAAAACTTGAAAATGTTCATTGTTATTTGTAAATTTAGAGATAATCTACCAAGTTCATTCCTCGATGCAACATTCAGTGAACGTTTGTTTAAACCTAAACACGTCTTACAAAAATGTATATGCGTTTTCTCAATCGAGTCTTTATCCCAGCGGTTATAATCATTTTTATCATAGATTCCCCAAACTTCAGAGCAATACGTTAAAATTGGGAAAAATAGTGTATTGAACAGTTTGTTGATGATGTGAATTGGTAATTTTAGTTAATCTAGATAACGACGAGCGGCAAAAAAAGGATCTCTGTTTTTTCTGTTAAATTTTCCTTGTGATTTGTAAAATTTCCATTGGCAGAAAATTTCACTCCAAAATAGGTATAATTATTGACGATTTCAATGTTTTCATTGCTAACCATAAAATTGTGTTTATCTATTGCTGATTTTCTGCTCTTCTTCTGAAATACAATAACTTTGGTTTTAGTTGGATTAATCCTGACAATATTTTGATAGTCTGTCAAGACTTTGTTGCAAACCTTCTGCCGAGTTAGATATTAGAAGTAAATCATCGGCATAAAGTAGACAGTTTAAGTGAGAGCCATCTGGTAGTAGGACAGAATCTTTAGCATTGTTATGTAGAATGAAGGGTAGTTCGTTTAGATAAAGGTTAAATAGAAGCGGCGACAGAATACAGCCTTGTCGTACACCTTTATCATAGTTGAAAAATTCTGATCGAGTATAATTGTCTTTCACACAACATATTGAATGGGAATACATGCTGGAAATTATTTTGTAAAAGGTGCCACCTATGTTATATTTCAACAGTTTGTATAGTAAACCTTGGTACCAAATTGAGGGCACCCAACGGCAGTTTTCGGGAAAATATCTGTTCGGAAGACGATTTGACATCTAGAATTTTCGGAGCATTTGTTGTAAAATTTCTTGCTTGCCTGCCTCTCCTAGGATTTTCGAACATCTACAAAACGGTATAATTACCCATTTTTTAACGGATTTTGACCCTAAAAAAGGCCACCTGGAATTTTCGGGAGCCTTTTCCTGGCTGAAATTTTCGAGAAGGTGAGTTTTTATCCCTATAATTTTCGGATCACTAGACTTTCAGCTAGGAAATCCGAACAGATGAAAAGTTTTTAGGGGATAAAAATATGCCTATATCTACCGTTTGAATACTAAAATACGTTCAACAATGCTATGTTAAGTGGTTTTGAACTATATCCTCGTTGGGTGCCTCTTCTTTTTAAAATCAACAAAACAAGTATAAAGTTTACCTCTGGAGGAGTGGGTAACATGTTGGTCTATTAATGTTCTTAAACTAAAGATATGTTCAGACGCACGATGTCCGGGTAAAAAGCCAATTTGGGAGCGATGAAGTATTTTACGATTGTTTGAAAAGTTTAATAATCTCGTATTTAAAATAGAACAAAAGACTTTGCCGAGACAACTACTAATGCAAATACCTCTGTAATTTGAAGGGTCATCTTTGTTTCCAGATTTATGCAAGGCAGTGATTATTCCATTACTCCATGATGTAGGAAATGTTCCAGATTGTAGAATCAGATTAAAAAGTTTCTCAAGTGGATATTTTATTAAGCCTGATTACTAGACCAGTCTTCGTACAACCCGACCTCTCACAAGGCGACTAGTTTGCGACTAGTTTGCGACTAGTTTGCGACTGCAAACTGATTGATATGACTGTTCCATCAGATAGAAACATCGCACTGAAAGAAACTGAAAAAAAATGCAAGTACAAAGACCTAGAACTAGAAATACAGAGAATGTGGCATATGAAAACCGTAGTGATCCCTGCGGTTGTTGGTGCGCTTGGTACAGTGAAGAAGGGTATGGTTGAAAACATCAAGAAAGTATCAGAGAGAGCTACTATGACAGAGATTCAAAAGATCTGCATGCTGGGATCTGCACGAATCCTCAGAAAGGTGCTAATTGTATGAACAGAATGATTGACTTGAGTGACTGACGCTCTAGGTGCATGGTTTGCGCCCGGCTGATGCACAAAAAGAACACCAGCAAAGACTGTGATAATAGAGACAATAGTAATAATAATGCCCTTATTTAACGAGAGTAACACTAAATAGCCCAAGGCTAATAGACTTGTGGCCGTCAAGACACAATCTTACAAATGTCTATACAATGTCTAGGTATAAAAAGATTATGGAAATAGATGTAGAGCATCCTGCACACCGGATTGCTTCGAGATCCTGGACTCTGCAGCCACTAAGTACCAAGTGAAGCTCAAGGAATCCATGTTTATAAAATGGGAGAAGCCCGATCTCAACCAGCAGGTGAAACACATTAACCTGACTGTCTCCCTGTAAAGAATTAAGCGTCACTCATTTAATTTTTTTTTAGTACGAAATGTTGACAACGCAATGTAACGAACTTTGTAAGATCGCGCGCGCTTTAAATTCAACGGCGATTTCAAAATATGTAACACCGTAGATGACGGATGTACCGTCGAAACATGTCTGGAAAATAAAAGAAATTTGTTATGTTTATACGGCTTTTATTATTCATTTAAAATATTTCCCCAATTCTGATTGGCTAAAAGCACACGCATAATTCACGATAACCACTTACTGATGACCAAATTTGGAAGAATTTTGTGTTTAACGAGGAAATGACGTCAAAAATGTAGCCTTCTACAGCAATGCACTGTTAACCGAGAAGACCTGGGGACGAGGTTGAGTTGTTTTCGTTGTGAAAACTAAAATGGCGGGCACTTTCCTCGTTTCATGATTAAGAACTACAGCTGGAACTAGGCGAAATAATGGCTAAAATTGTAGCAAAAACAGCAAGAAGACAACTCGGAGGGCGACATCTGCTATTTGGAGAATATTTGCGCAACAGCGGTCCAATAATACTGCCTTGCGGGACCCCATACCTTAACATCGCCTCACCCGACTCCCTTCCTCGTACATGAACCACTTGTTTTCTGCTGCATAGAAATGAGCGACACCAATTGAGCTCCTGATTGGCAACGCCATACACCTTTAATTTTCTCAACAGAAGTTCGTGATCAACAATGTCGAACGCCTTTCGATAATCCACTAGAGCCATGCCTGACACCCTGTCTTTGTCTAGGTTAAACAATAGTTTATCAATTATCTTGATAAGAGAAGTCTCGGAACCATACTTTCTTCGGAATTCTGACTGTCTAGAGTATATTAGATTGTTCTCATTAAGGAAATCGTACAATGAGTCATTATAGTGACGCTCGATTATCGTTGACAAGACCGGGAGGACAGATGTAGGGCGAAAGTTATACGGGGCACTCTCCAGTTTGCCTTTCATATTTTTCTACAAGTTGTTATTGTACTGATCCAGGTCTACAACTGGGAGACCCTGCACCACTCACTGGTTTGTCGCTGTGGACTTCTGCTTTTTTATATATTGTCACGATGCCTTACAAATATGTACACATCTATCCCCAGCTGTCCCTGCCAGCGCGCTGTGTGTGATGGGAAGGATGCTCTTAGAAACGAGGCGACAGAATAGCCCTCGATCAGGCTCTGTTTTGCTTTCGTTTTTATAAATAACATTTCCCTTGAGCGAGAATCCATGAAACATGCCAAAATTTGCCCTGACTCATCTCAGGTTACCACAGAGACGATTGCAGACGAGTCAGTGTTGTATAACGTTTCTCCAGGCCTTCCCGGTCAATGCGTTTCGGTGACGTAACCGAGACCAGGCAGAAAAATTCGCTCGGACCACGTGACACAAAATGCATAGTAAGCGCCAAATAATAAGACCGCTGGACTTAAAAAAGATATTAACCAGCGCAATGCACATTGGGAAGCATGTGTGAGATCTTTAAAGGAATAACGCGGGGGCCTTGAAGCAGTTTAAGGTTTTGTTTATCATCGGTTACAAATTGCGGTTTTTAACATTAGCATAATTTTTGCTCGAAAGGATAGAAGTTTACTTTAAAGTCTCAGGTGATACCCAGAAACAGTCGCAGATAAAGTTCTGAAATGGCGTTGAAACTGGTTGTTAAGGTCAGTTGATATTTTAAAGTTATATTTTCACAAGACAGACTTTTTCAAAAGAAAACCCATACTTACTCAAGCGTTATTTTTACATTTAGGGCTCCAACGATCATAAGAAAGCACTCAGCCAGCTCGGCGACTGTCCAACCAGTCAGCGATTTGTGATGGTATTAGGTCTAAAGGGAATCCCATTCCAAATAGAATACGTGGATCTCAATAAAAATGCCAAGTATAAAAAACTACCTGTCCTTGAACCAGGAGATAGAGAGCCGATAGACAACTACGAGGCGATTGAGGATTACATAGAGAATAACTTTCCAGAACCAGATCTGAAGATTGCAGAGTACTCTAAGGCCGGCAAAGCTGGACAAGATCTATACTCTAAATTTGCGAAATTTATGCGTAACAGCAACCCTAAACTCGACGCTAAGCTTCGTGGTGACCTAAACAGGGAATTGCTTAAGCTCAACGAGTTTCTGGAAAACGAGAGTCCGGGAGCTTACTTGGATGGCGAAAAACTGAAGCTCCCTGACTGTAACTTGCTGCCAAAGTTGATGCATGTGAAGGAAGCTGGAGAATTGAAAGGGTTCACAATATCTCAAGAATATGGAGGTGTATTAGAATATTTGAAACAAGCTACAAGGCAAAAAGTTTTCCGCGATACTTTCACTGACCAAGTGAAAGAAGACATTAAATCGGGCTGGTGGAAGAAAATGGGGAATTAAATGAGTGCTATTCACGTGTTAAATAGGATACTGACCTAGACGACAGACAAATTGAACTCAATATTAATAGGGGCAGGTTTCTCTCGAAATATCGTAACCACACTCTTTGCTGTACTAAAACACATGTTATCTGCTTTAAAGAAATGGAAGGTATCTCACTCTATTACGTGCTAAGAGATTCAGTGTTGCTGTAGAGTTATGGTACCCTTGTCAAGAATTTGCCAAGATGGAATTGCGGAAGAGCATTTGCAGATAAGTGACAAATGTACACAATATTCATGTAGTTTTTATCGTCCAAGTGAGAGCTAGGAGGAATCCATTCTTGGGAATGTAGTGGCGGTTTTCACACTGGAAAAAAAAAAAACTTAAAAAAAACGCAAAGTCCACGTATCAGTAGCAGACTCCAGAATATTCCGCATATTGTGTTCGAGAGAGTTAAAATGATAAATTATTCAGTCGTACGACTTAGTTAGGGAGTCCCTGTTGATCTTCCGAAAAGATGCCCGAATTTTATACCTATTTTGCCTTCTTTCTTCCTGAAAAAGAAATTTTTTATTTATTAAATAAGTAGTTCGCAACCTTATCCTTTGGAAAAGAGAAATAAAAAGAACAAAAAAATGAGAAGAATTTTGTTAAATTTCATTAAAGCATGCATGTCTCTTAAAAATAACATTATGCAAATGGCAGACTGCGTTTTTGTGTTTGCTGTATTTGCATTTATAGACGCCATGATAAAAACATTAGTGGTGCGTGTATTTGATAACTGAGCGAGTTTGATACCCTTCCAGCGGACAAGGCCGCAGTAATTATAGACTGGTCAAGTTTCAATACCGGCAAAACAAGGGGCGGGATAATATGTCGTTATATTCAATTATTTTGTTGAACACCTTTTGGCCTGAAGCTATTATAGATTTTCGTTTGTATTAAACAGAGCCATATAAGGGAACAAATTTCAGTTAAAAGTTTTCATTATGTTAACCTACATGGTAGGTCACTCGCAAACAAACTCATTAACAAAGACGGCCAATAAAGGATCTTTGAAAATAGTTTCAATTTTCATTAAGGACAGTCCTTTTTGTATTTCTTTCCACCAAGATGAATTCGATACAAAGTTCCATTTCGCGTTTATTTTCTAGTTTGGAGCTTTAAGACTGGAATCACAACTGTCAATTGTCTAAACCCAAGAAACAAACACTTTTACAAATAGCGTTATTGCTCTACCAGTGGTATCCTTCAGCTGTAGCTAGCTGTCGCCTATCAAACTAAAATTTTGTTGTTATTTCGATTCGAAAGAAACTCCAGTTTCCTTCTTAAATTTTTCGACATATTTTCATAACAGTCGTTTCCTGTGCTTTTTACATTTTTGATAGAGCAAAAAAGCATGAAAAACAATGCATAACGATTACTGAATTTCTAGTTTAATAATTTTTCGTTCTTTAGCCTGCGTAGCAAGCGTTTCCCCTCCCCCTCCTCCTTCAACCTTTTTTTTGCTTCCGCTCTAACTTTCGCGCAATAACTCGATAGGAAACGCTTGCTACGCAGGCTATTCATTCTTAGAACTGATAAATTCCTTTCTGACCCACAGAAAAGATGTACCGACGTTAACTCCCCTTCGATCTTCGTTTAATAACTGTGTATCAAAACATTTTTAAAAGTATCTTCATCCATTCGTTTGTTAATTACAAACAACCTCTTCACTGGGTCGGCCAGGGTTTGTGGGTATATCTTATACAGGGGGTCTCAAATCGCATACACCGTTTCTTTTTTCATCCAAAGTTCTAAGCAAGCTAAGGGATTCGAGATGAAGGTATACTGCTTTCTTACAGTCTTAGGAGAGTTTTTGGCATTTTGGCCAATTTTTTCGGGTGTATAAAGGAATCAGTTATTTCTCTTGCCAACCCTGGCTTCAAGGGATCGACATTGAAGTGTATATTAGCGTCTTTCACTCAGACCCAGTCATCTTTCGTTTCTTTGTTGTTGCGGTGAGACTAAATGCTAATGAATGGTATCAAACCTTGCCATGTGCCGTCCGCGCGCTTGACATGTGCTGAACACTGATGATATATTACTGACCGCGTGCATACGGTGTGGTAGTTCAGTTTCTACAATCCATTTCCTTATTCAGTTATGGTCCCTTTTGTTTCTGCTTCTTTGCAGATGAATATGGAACCTGCAAAGCAATTAAGACCCATAATGTTCAGTGTTTGACATGCGTGGGCTTGGCTCTGAGCCCACAGTTTCCTCTCGAACAGCGATTGGCTAGCTTGAAGGAGTTCACACGAAACTGGTGGTCTATCAAAATAAAAACAGGTGCCGGGAAACAGACCCTACGAAAACATATCGTATCCTCCTGTACTCTGTTGAGGGAAATATGGCGGGATATACGCACACTGGTCAATACGGGGAGGGAACGTGGCAAACAGAAAAGAAAAATATTACAGAAAGAAGTCGATTTATGTTTAACAACGAACTGATGAGTGACGTCCATTTTCTCGTTGGCAAGTCGGAGAAATTGAGGATTCCAGCTCATAAATTCGTTATGGCAATCAGCAGCCCTGTCTTCTATGCCATGTTTTATGGGAGAATGGCTGAAAAGGAAAACGAAATTAAAATCGGTGACTGTGAAGTTAGCAGCTTTCTAGAACTCCTGAGATACATTTACTACGACGAAGCAAACATCGATCCAACGAACGTGTTTGGCATTTTGTACTTGGCAAAGAAATACATCCTCCCATTTTTGGCTGAGAAGTGTGTGCATTTCCTCGAAGAGAACATTGATTATCAAAATGCCTTCACCCTCCTAGCTCAAGCGCGCTACTTTTGTGAGCCGAAACTAGAGGAAAAGTGCTGGGAGATTATCGACAGAGAAACGGCGAGAGTCTTGTCTTCAGATTCCTTCACGGAAATCGATCATGAAACCTTACTTGCAGTACTAACACGTGACACCTTGACGGTTCTTGAAGCAGACCTCTTCAAAGCCATTAAACGCTGGGCGGAGGCCGAATGCAACCGGAAAATCCTTCCGCCAACACCAGAAAACAAAAGAGGTGTTCTCTTGAGCGCCCTTAATTTTATTCGGTTCCCAGTCATGACTCTGAGAGAATTCTCAGAGGATGCCGCGCAGTCGGGAATTCTTACTTCGGAGGAAACTATAAATATATTTTTGTATTTTGGTTCTAAAAACGAATCTAAAGTCAACAGCTTCCTGACCCACCCCCGGCAAGGCGCCCATAGGGTGTATCGCTGTAGAAGGTTCCCCAGTTATGGTCAAGATTGGCTGTGTGAGGGAACAAATGTTGATAGTATCAAGTTCACAGTTGATCGAGATATTACTGTTTTAGGAGTTGGACTTTATGGAGTAAGTAACGCAGAGGACAGTTCAAGATCGTTTAGTGTGGATGTAGAGTTGTTGGACTCACATAATGACGTTATGTGCACTTATGAAGGAACTTTCTTTGCTGATGCAAATAAACATGTAAATGACATCTTATTTGACGAACCTGTTGTAGTAAGATGTCAGCAACCGTACGTCATTCGCGTCCTTCTAAAAGGACCCTCTACGCTGGGGGGTACTGACGGAATGAGAGATGTCATAGCAGAGGGTATTAGGTTTAGATTCGACGTAGATGAAGCCAGCTTCAACGGAACAACAACGGCTGATGGACAAATTCCAGACATTATTTTTAAAATTTAGGATAAAATCGTTTACAAAAGTGATAGCAAATGCCAAACCCAGCTACAAACTGAATTGTGCTTATCCCAGTCCACTGCAGTGTGATCCATCTGCTGTGTATCTTTCGGCACCTAGTTCTGTTCTAATCCTTCTGGGTTTAAAAATGTTTTTTTTGTACACGTTTTTGTTAACACCGATGATATAGTGTTCTGATTGCAATGAGTATGAACATTCCTCATTTCTCAAACTATTATTTGTCCATTTGCTAATGAATTATTTTGATTGAGTATCAACAGTATCCTGATGATGATTATAATTTAAAGCTATAAATAGAATGTAAACAGGATGTAAACAAATTCCTCCCTTTCCCTTATCCTCAGCAACAAACTACAGCTCTCACAACTCTTTCCTGAAACTCTTTCGGAATGAGAACAGTTTCAAGCGGATACATATCTAAACCCAAACAAAAATCATAGGAGAAAAACGCAAGAATGGTGACAATATATAGAGTCAACCAATTTAAAATTGTTTAAAAGAAGAAGTAGATGTTAATAAATTACTAGATCTGCGGTATCTAAGCCAGCTGCTTTCATTCATCGCGATTGTTTTTACTCTGAACTCGAAGTCATTCATTTAGCCAATCAGGTTACTAAACATCTGAACATCTAGACGTAAGATGTTCAAAGGCAGAAGATATAAAAATCAATATCTTCCAGAAAGTAAGGACACGGAGATCCAGAAAGTAAACAAGGAAACAGCCATCCTTTATAAAACAAACAAACCGGTGAGAGAAACAAAAATAAGGTCGTTCTGGCTCTGAGCATTGTTCTTAGAAAAATCACGAAATTGAAAAGAGGGCAAGGAACTATGAATTATTTTGGACGAGAATCTTTGTAAATTTACTTCTTCTTCGTTTTTTCATTTCTTTTTGTTTGTTTGTTCTTTGTTTGTTTTCGTTTACTTAAGACTCTAACCTGCGCGTCGGACAGTTTTTTTTAGGGAAGGGACCTTCCTTTGAGAAATCCCGAGGTGAATTCATGGCTTTCATGTCAAAAATCCCTCAAATTGCCATAAATGATCTAGAGGTAGAAGCAATGATATAATATTTCGGATGTAGAACTGGGGGAATGAAATAAGCAGTGTGAAGTTACCTGGACGGGTAGCACAAAAGAGCAGGTTGATAAGACTCTCTTCAAAATCAATGCCTTGAAACAAACAGATTTAAATGCTGCAAGCTTAGAGTAATTCGTTTCAATGTCGTTTGGCCAGTGTAATTTTAGAACTAAACGACCCGTTCAGTTAAAGTCATGAGCAGTTAGTTTGTCTCGTCAAGTGTCAAAACTTACGGGTAGTGTTAATAATGACGACACGCATGATTTCACTCAATTATTGGCTCTTTCGCTGGCGCGAGGGTCAAAAATAACTCGGCAACACAGAAAAATCATGGATTTGCTTTAATCTGTACATTCCTTCTTCAAACATGATGGCTTCCTGACCATTCCAATGTATGAAGCTGTGGTTTTGTGGTTATGTTCCAGCTTCAATGGACACTGTTTGGATTACTGCTGTGGCCTATAGTTAGTACAGTGGGAGACACGCGATCCCACGGTGCTGGACGGAAAATGTCGACACTATTGTCATTTGATTTGCGACGAAAAACTAAGCATCATCATGAGAGAAATGTTACTATTTCACCTACAACACCAGCTCCAACCACAAATAACGCAGAAGAAGAAGAAGTAGAGTTTTCGCTTAGGGTATGTGTCATAAGATTGCGCACGCGCAATCTAGACCAAATTTCCCTCTTTATGAGACGTAAAAGAGAGGCATGCGGTTATTACATTTGTATTTTTCATTCTATGTTTTTTTTTTTGTGACAGAGTACTTCGTACGCTTATGTTATTGAGTTGGATCTTGGTACACCTCCACAAAGGGTAACGCATTTGTTCATAACATAAGTGATAAACCCTTATTGCTCAGACAGGTTTCAACATTTATTAACTTCTCACAGAAAGATAACGGATAGAAAGGAAATTGTGAGTTAGTGTCGACATTTTCCATAAACTTCTTGTAGCTGCTGTATAATAGAATAAGAGTGAGGTATTTGATCTTATCAAATGAGCTGCGAGTACAATAATAAAGAATATAAATATGAGAGACTGGAACTATTATGTTTAAAAACCTGGTTGTACAATATTTTCGTTTATGCCAAAGAAGGATGTTCTATCCGTTGATTAGGTTTCCTCCATCTGACAATACTGGCATCAACGTAACATTAATAAAACAATTAAAATGATTTCAGAGTAGGTGAAAAGATACAAATATACTACATTTCTTATTTATAGCTGGAATTTTTAATCGATACTGGCTCGTCTAACATGGCAATAGCAGGTGAGTACTGCTGCTACAAACATCAGATTTCATATTGAAGATGACAGCTGCCGCATAAACTACTTTACAACACGTAATTTCAATGAGCAGATTATGAAGCGGCTAAAGAGGTCTGTCTCGTATCCTTCTTACTTTTATTATTGATCATGTAATGATTCTTTGTTTGTTTTGTTCTTGTTGTTTTTAATCTTTAATTGTTTTCGTCCCGTTTAATGGACTCCTGTTTAAAGTAGCGAAAGTTAACTTTTTATCTCTCTGTTATTTTGTTTATTTTTTTCCTCCTGTTTAGGCCCTCGATGCCGTGACGAAATGGAGCATAAGTGCGAGATAGAAACATACTACTATCCAGAGAAATCTAGCACATCTGAAAACCAACACACCCCAGTAAGTCACGAAAATGCGTCATTTTTTAGTTATACACAATCAGAACGCTCTCTTTAATATTATGGTGTTTCTAGTATAATTTCTGGCCTGAAGGCTGAATTAATAAGAAAACAAAGGTTATTTTCTGCCTTCTGAGGCCGTTGCCAAAATACTGCAGTTCCGTTAACCAGCTATGTGCAGTGGCCTTACAGTGTAACTGTTACGACAAATTTTCCCTCTGCATTGCAGATTAGTGTCGGGGAAACCTAGTCCACGCAGTGTCAAGTCTATTAAAGTCTTAGTTTACTCAAAGTATTATAAAGTTTAATGCACATAAGTAAAGAATAAGGTGATATATCTTACACAGAAATTATTTGATAATTCTTTCCTGACATGTTCGTTTCTTCAGATTGAAACGGAATATGGAAAAGGGGCGTGGTCGGGGAACATTTACCGTGATGTTGTGGCTTTCCCAGGTGATGGTAAGCGGCGGCGATTAATGTAACAACATAGCAAACTAAGCAGTTTTGATGAATAATAATGTGACTATATAACTTACATTCTTAGGTCCCAGAACTACAGCAGAGTTTGCAGTAATAAGTCACGAAAAAGATTTCTTTCTGAGTAAGTAATAATATTCTTTGTTCTTTTTAAACTGATTTTCTTGACTAAATATATAAAATAACTCAAGACTCAGGTAAAAAAATCGCTTTAGTTTTATTGACGAGCTTTTTCAAATACTTTTTGGGCTTTCAATGCAGGAAACTCAATTAACGAAGGTATTCTTGGTCTAGCTTATAAGAGTTTGGCGACAGATGAAGTACAGGTCAGTGATCAAGGCATCTTTTTTTTTTCAATAATTTTAAAAATTGAATCGAAAGATCTGTATTAACTGAATACTTATTTATTTTCTTAGCCACTGTATGATCAGCTCGTTCAAGACAATAAAGTTCCTAATGTGTTTTCTCTCGGTTTATGTAACGGAATGGTGAGTGAAAAACGCGATGCTCTTTTGCACCTTAAACTTCCACATGGCCTAAGTAAAGAATTCTCTAAAAGGAAAATTTATTTTTAAAACTTTAGGAACAAAGGTGTCTTAGTTTCTTTTCGATTTTCTTATTCTCTCTCTCTCACTTCAGAGCTACATCTTTCGTTCGTTCCTTTTACAAAATGCGTATCGTCCTCCTTTCTTCGTAATTCGAACTTGGCCTTAATTTTATATGCGATGTTTTTTCCAAAGGGTAAAATCTGGCTGGACTTTCCAGAATCATCTGAGTATCATGGGCCACTACATTATACAGGCATTGATCAGGAGACCTGGTACAGTGTTACAATGACAGGCATTGTGAGTGCGTGGTACATTGTTAACCAAATATGGCGGGAAAATTGACCTTGCCAACTGAAAGCAAATCAGTAGTGTTCCCAAATCAATTATAGGCAGGAAACTTTCGTCGACCCAAATAGTTATTCTATCACCCGATTGTTAAAGTTAGATACACCAGTTATAGACGAAAATTTGAACATTATGGTTTTGAGCGTCACCCTCAAATTAATTTTCTTATTATTATTCATCTCTTTATTCATCTCAGCATTATGTCCAAAATTACGCCGGCATAATGTATCTATAAACCCTGTTAAAGAGCTGGTGTAAGGCGGCAAAAGCAAGAAACCATTGATGGTGGCGTTTAAGTCTTAACCGATTTTTTGAAAGAAGACCATGATCGTACTTGAATATTTGGGGAGCAAGGGTGGCGCCGAGGCACTACGTTGATAGCACTCGCCTCCCACCAAATTAATGTGGCCAGGGTCCCGGCGTCGACGCCATATGTGGGTTAAGTTTGTTGTTGGTTCTCTCCCAACAACAACAACAACAACAACAACAACAACAACAACAGTTTATTCAATTGTCAAATAATTTAAGTCTATGTTACCCACAATTAGCGGAGCTATTCTAGGTGGGCAACAATACAATAATTGTCTCCTATAAAGTCGGCAAAAGAACGTAAGTAAAGAGAGAGAAAAAATAAAATGAAAATAAATAAATAAATAAATAAATAAAAGGTAGCACCTATAGATATAAGGAAGGAAAACACTTTAACTGAATAAGGAGTTCAGGTAGGAACTGGTAATGGTACTCATATCAACATACACCTTCTTGGTCTCCGAAACCTTGATCAGTAATTTTCGTAATTTACGCTTGAAAGGATCTTTGCGCTGTTCACGTAACGTAAGAGGAATTTTGTTTCAAATTCTTACACCACTTCTAGACAAAAGATAACAATAGCTGATTGAGTCTAGATCTCTGGACATAAAAATTACCTGCTGCAGAAAATCTGGAGAATGGATCACGTTAGAACGGACGAGCAATTCAGAAATTTTAGAACGAGTCCGGTTATTGGAGATATCGTGCATTAGGATAGCCCATTATTTAAAGTACAGCAAATTCAGAAGCAAAACACCAGACCTGAAGAACAGAGGTATGGCATGAGCTCTCCTGTCAGAAAAGTACATTAACCGCAGAGATCGTTTTTGCAATATTAGAATTTTGTTCAGACTTGAATTGGCAGCTTGTCGCCATGCAGTTAGTCCATAGGAAATGTACGGTTCGATTAAGAAACGATAAAGCTTTAAGAGAGTACTGGTAGGAACAAAATGCCTAAGCCTGGCAATGATGCCTACCCCTTTGCTTTTTTTGACCAAATATAGTCTATGTGGTACCTCCCTTGTTCCGAGAGGTTTTTCTTCAGGTACTCGGGTTGCTCCGGGTACTCCAGCATTTCCAAATTCCAATTCGACCCGGAATTCAGGTAGACGAAGAACTACCGTGGATGTGCTACCTTCAAATCGTTATTTATTTATTTATGTTGGACGTGGTAAGACCAAACCTGTAGAGGCTATATGTAAAATAATATAAAATCTTTGAGTAGTTAATATCTTTAAAATAAACGTAATCATAAAGAATGTAGAAACAGAAAAGAAACCTGATATGTTGGATTGCCCCAGCGTAAAACCGTATAACTTTCCCTATTTAATATTAAATGATGTCGCTAAAACTTAACTCTGACAAACAGAATCATACACGTACACTATGATCAAATCGGCAAATGTCGAACAAAATACAGACTGTACTTTACCTTTTAGCATCTGTCAATGTATTGTTGTATTTCAGGATGTTGCTGGCAACAGCCTAGGTTTGCTACCTCCGAGTTTTTCATCTGCTATTGTGGATAGTGGTGAGTTCGCTAGAAACAGGCAGTAACGATTTGTTGGGCAAGGAAGAATTTGTTGTTGATCTTTACAGTTTGCACTTAAGGAAGCGTGTGTTACATGAAACCTGTGGTTAGAGCGCTAAACCAAGCGATAAGTACTCGAATCCCGTCCCCTCGGGAATCCGAGATTGAGACGTTTGTCATGCAGGAACCGATTACTTCTCGTGCGTTTGTCGAGGAAGATTTATGTCATGATTCATTTAAAACAGAAGAAATTAAACACTTGTAATCTGCTACCCAGATCTCGCTGGCGTCTGTCTGTAGGTCTGGAAATCTTAGCTCGAGACCAGTTTCATACTTTAACTTGGCTGCGAGGCTGAGGGGAATGAAAGAAAAAAAAAATCATTATTTCCTGAATCTCGATGCGACTTCTTTCGTTTTATATCCCTCAGTCTCGGTGCAAAGTATGAACCTTAATAATAACTTAACTGGTCTATTAGGGTTAGGCTACTCGATCCCCATCTAAAAACTACCTAAGCAGGAAAATATCCAATCATATATGGATTTTTGTGTCGGCAGGTACAACGGACATCTTATTACAACCTGAAATATACGAGGCCGTTATAGCAGAGCTAAAAACGGTGAGATTATATATAGAATTAGCCAGGGCTAAAAGCGAAGCTCTCGATAATATTTATAGTTTGTTCAAACAAATTATAAAATTGCACGTGCAGCACTCTTTTTTTGTACATTTCTTTGCCGTTGTTTTGTACGACTACAACGTGAAACTTCAAGAAACTTCTTAGTTACACGTTTTATGGAGGAAATGTCGTACGTGTTCTCGTTCACTTATTTTCACTGCCGATCATTTTCACATTGCATTGGTGGCCGCTAGCATTTCTCATTTTGTCATCGCCGCTACACAATTTCCATGTTGTTCTTCCAACAAAAAAATTATGCCTCCTTTGTTTTTTATCTCTCTGCTCTAAATCTCTGTCGCCTTTTCTCTCGTTGAGCTTCGCTGACCTGCCGCTCACTTTCTCTTTTTCTCTGTCTTTCTCTTGCTCTATATTCCAAATTTGTGGACATGACAATTTATCTAAGCTTAATACTTCAGACAACATGGATACAGAAACAATTTTCGCTTTCCCTTTTCGTTTTTATTGACTCTTTTGGTTTTCTCTGCTTTACAAGACGTAGCCTGCGAGGGAGAGAAGCGACGACCGGAAATGCGTCTGCTGCTCGCAGGCTATACAAGACGCTGCTAGCTATGCGAATTCCCGCCAAAATAACCTCGAGTGACACCTCGAGTTGCATTTGGGTTGCCATACCTGTTGATTGAGTTATTTTACATTGGTATGCCCGTAGTGCGGACGGACGATCTCTCGGGGCAGGCGGTCGCGGTCACGGTCACGTGATTACCAAAATTTCTTGGATGGATAATTTACTTCATTTTCTTACCCATGGTGCTCCACAGGGGCGCGCTTCGGGCGCGAGAGCTCCGCTATTGATCAGATACCAGAAAGCAAGTAATTTCGCTCATTTATGCATTGTACTCACTATCTTTCTTCTCACTGGCTGAGCACCTACAGTGAATTTTGGAAATCACTGTACCCTACTGGGCCGTGTTGTTTAAAGCTGGGTAAGAATATCCCAAGGTTAGTGCGAAATTTCAATTCGAATATGAAGGTTTAAAAAGGAAATTAAGTTTAATTCATTTTTTCTATAATTTGATAATTTGACGTTTTATAAAGAATACGGAAAATTATCCGAGAAAATGCTTTAGAACAAAAGAAAAAGTAACCCGGATTAAAAGTTATTTCCGGTTTAGCGCTAATCGACCTTCGAACCTCTGAGTCCAGATAAGTTAGTTATCTGAGACTAGCAGGTAACTAGTCTGTTCGTTGCGCGACCAATGCATGATTTCCAGGAGCAATGACAAACTGTGTTCTGTGCGACGGTGTGTCTGTCGCCATTCTTCAAAGTAATGTATAATAAAACAATTACTAGTTGTGTTTCGTGATACCCGGAATAATCAAGGTCTCGGCTGAAAGCAATTTCCTCGACCTTGATTTTTCAGATATTACAAAAACCTCATTCAATAATTGTAAGATGTTATAAATCCCTCTCCTTTAAAATAATCAAGCCATAGAATTATCTTTGTCATTATTATTATTATTATTGTTATTATTATTATTTTTATTATTATTATTATTATTATCGTCATCAACGTCCTCCTCTTCACTATAATTATCATCATTATAGTTATCGCCACTATTGTCGTGAAAATGACTATTTTTATGACGGTTTTTTTAATACGGTAATGATGCTGATTTCGGCCTTTAGCCATGACATAATGCAGGCGTTTTTTCACTTTTGCGATCACTCCACGTCTTTTTGCATAATTAAAAACGTTGTGGATCTGTCATAAACTTCTTACCTGGGTTAAAATCCATGAGCAGTCAGTTTTATTTAACACTTACGTAACTTGCTTTAACCTTATTGTCATTTTATTTTGTTAGCGTGGGCCGCCAGTGGACGAACGCTTTTGGAACAGTTATTGTGTTGATACAGATCCTTACCAGTGGCCCTATCTTACTATCTATCTTAAGGACATGAGTGAGTTGAACGATCCTTATTAATGCCGAACCCTCTCAGATACATTTTATATATGCAGATTGTCGAGGCACTTAATTTAATGCTTATATTTTGCGTTTTTCCTCTGCAGTTGGAGGTTCATTTGGTTTGACAATTCTCGGAAAACACTATGTCAGAAGGCAAGAGTGAGTCATTCAGATTACCTTTGTTTAATAAGCAAACTAGTATTAAAGCCGCGACGCACTCTTAAAACCTCTTTGATTCGTTTCTCTTTTCAAATGTTACAGGTTAAATTTGATTTCAGGTTGATTTTGATTTAATGTAGGTTGCTTCTCAATTTCGAATGTCTCCTAGCCCTAGAAGAAAAAGGAAATTGAGAATCAACCTAGGTTAAAAAAATTTAACCTGAAATCAAATTTTACCTGTAACACAAATACCACAGTTTAGGTACGATTGCTCAGGTCCTCATCATGATCAAGACAGTTTTAAGGGGTCAAGAATAATTTTGATTACCAGATACTTAACAATTATTGGACGAGGTTGAGCAAAATATCGTGATTTGTCTGTGGCGAGCAGATTAGCCTGTTCCAGGCGTTCAGATAGTAGAGCGCGGCGGTAAGTGGGGGAGCGAGTTAAGTTGTACACCGGGAAAACGGGGGGACGAGGGGGCGAGAGCGAGGGAACGCCTGTAAACATTGTTAACAAAGGGTCCTTCCGGTATACTGGATTCCAGTATACCCTCTCATTGGGCGATTATGACACCTTCTGTTAACACTCGAGCACTGGTGACATTGATGAGGAATGCGATATGGAGGGAGAGAGACATCTGTTATCGCATCACGCGGACATCGAAGCTACTATAAACAATGCAATTGAGTATTTCCTGTATGAGGAATCTTTTCGTGAAGAGCAGAAAATTTGCTTGAATCTCGTTCGCCGAGGCCAGGACGCTTTCGCGATTCTTCTAACCGGCTCTGGGAGACCTTCATTTTTCTACTCTTTCCACGAGTAATAAACGTAATCACAGGAAACGTTGGCGAGTCAATTTCCACGATCATCATCGTTGCGCCTCTCGTAGCCATAATGAAACCAAAAACTCAAGCGATTTGGAATAACAGCAACAACAGCCATAGGTTGGGGACAGGAGGAAGGCATGTGTATGGACGAAGACACGGCAATGTGAAAGGAGGGTTTACGTGTCATCATTTATGGAAGCCCAGAAAGGCAAAAAAAATCTTATTTGGAGGATTTAGTCGCAATAAAAAGATCAGTGCTTTAACAGAGGTCATAGAAAATCAGTACTTGTTACGCCGCAAAATGTAATAATCGCCTCAAAATGTAATATTAACGCAAAATGTAATAAGAATCGCCGCAAAATGTAATACTAACGTAAAATGTAATAACATTGACGCAAAATGTAATAAAATTTTCAACGCAGAATGTAATAATCTTTCAACGCAAATTGTAATAACTTTTCTAACGCATAATGTAATAACGCAAAACGTAATAATTTCCGAATAATGACGTGCATGCTATTTCAAAATCGGTATTGTTGCTCAATCATCGGTAGTAGCGAATTCAGATCTTCAATTAAATTATAAGCTATTATTATTATTGATATCAATATTAATATTAATATTATTAATAACATTAATATTACTATTACTATTTATTATTGTTATTATTATTATTATTATTATTGCTAATATTACAATGAAACAGTTGAAATGAGGAGATGTAATCATCTTTAGAGAACCGAATGGGACGTTTGTTTCCGCTGATTTGAACGTAATACAGGTCCCAATACAGTGCCCACCTAGCCGTCCTTTAAGCCAACATTGAGAAATAAGTGTCAATGTTGGCTTAGGGGAGGGGTATGTAGACAGTTTCCCATGATTATCCAAAAATTCTAACCCAAACCAATTACCCATACACCCTCCCCCCTCAAGTGGTCAAAAATGGTCGTCCCTAAAAAGACGAAATTGCGCACTCTTTATGGATCTCCCAGTTCAAGATTTGGTGCCGTCAACTCTAAGCCAACGGCGATTGCGTTGCTGAGCAAATTCAAGGTTTCGTTTAGCGTCGAATGCGTTTCCTGATATTGAGTCGGTCGGTCGGATTGAAAAAAAAACCTAAAAAACAAATCACAAGAAGTCTCGGAATAGGAGGCCCTAGGCCCGGTTGCATAAAACGCCCGTAACAACTACGGGTATATGTACGTGCACTCGTAACTTAAGCGAGTTGCATTAAATCACTTAAGTGGTCCACTTAAGGGAATTCACTTCAGTGGTTGCACTTACGATTTTCGTAAGTGTTCACGTAAGTGTCGTTTATGCAACAGCAATTGCGGGTGTTGCATAAAACGTTTTTTACGGGAAAAATAGCACGTAAATTTACGGGACCTATGTAGGTCCCGTATATCGTTACTGTTTTTACTAAAGTTAACGAGATCTTTTACTGAGAGTGAAAAAAAGTAATTTTTCCTCACGTAATTCGTTCTAATGTGCTTTGTTAACCTTTTATGTACACTTTAAAGCCGACGTTGTGAAAAAAGAAGAAGAATTATCATTTTCAGTAGACATAGAAGAAAAATAACGATTGCATGCAAATTTCATTTTTTTGAGAGGCTTAAAAGTGTTCGAAACGACTTAAAAATTTCTTTGCACTCTCCGATGGTTAGCTTAAAAAAAAGAGTCAGAGTCATTAATAAAGTACTATATCAAGGTTACGTGTGCCCTTAAGTGATCCCGTAAGTTACCACGTAAAACAGAAACTTACGAGAGTGCTAAGTGCGTTCCATGCAACACCCGTAAGTGTACCCATAACGGATTCGTAAGTGACCTACTTAAGTGGGCACTTAAGTCTAGGTTTTATGCAACCGGGCCCTGGTACCCCAGGACGACGTTAAAAGTTAACATTCACATATTTGGATTAACAAAATACACAATATACTGTAAAAAATGTTTATGTCTTTGTTCCTGTTTTTCTCTATGCTGTTACTATGCTCATTTTTCAGAATAAAAGAATTATTTCAAGTGAAAAATGGTTTAACTACGTCGTTACTTTGTTTTTGAAAATGTCAAAAATTTGGGTCGGTCCGACGACGCTAAACGCAGAAAAAAAAGAGGATGGCCTGTCTTCTACTCACAACTGCCTTGCCAGGCAAATTCAATATTTTTGTGCATCAGCTTAAC